ATGAAGATATGTAATTGAACCTGGGCTTCAAGAGTAGTGATTGGGGACGAACCCAATAAAGAGTCTGTTCCACAAAGTAGCAGCTCTGAAGAAGACGCTGTCTGAATGGAACTTCCTTCATACGAGTGGAATACAAAGGGACTGAAGGTTATTCGACCCTGTGTAAATAGCATATTGGTCCTAACTATAAAGGTCTGAACTAGTAGATGCACCAGTTCAGACAACAAAAATGCTCAACTCTTGGTGTTTGGCTATTTTATCACTCAATTGATAAATAACAAATATAGTTGATGTGCTTATTGATAGAAAGTTGACCCTGTTCCGCATTTATGAAGCTATTGTCATGGGTCAGTATTAGTCTGAATATCAAAGAAATGTGAAGTGGGTCTCTTTGGAAATTTACTGTGTTATAACACTGAAGAAATCAGAGCTAAAAATAGCTGGACATAAGGCATGGCGTAAATGTTAAGCGAAAAACGTTTTCCCTGAGAAATATTCTTACTCTTATTACTAAAGTCCATTTCATTTTTATGTTTACTGTATACATGATAAGTAATTAAGCGGAAAGAAATAATTAGTAATAATTAAAAGTAATAATATTAAGGATAGTAGAAAGGGAAATATATAAAAATGCTTTTAAAATTATTTTACACTGGCCTATCCGTCAAGTTTCGGATAATCATGGTAAACTCTTGAAAAGACTTCGGCTAAAGAGTAGAAGGAACGACTTGAAGTACCTGTTAGTTTCGTATCGATAATATAAGTCAGACCAATCAAAAGACATAAAGGTGAATATCCTTTGGCCAGGTTTTTCTCTCCCAAAATTGAAGCCACTAGAACAACACGAAGGGTCACGTTTATTCCTACAAAAAATAATAATAATAGAAATATTTGTTTGAAATTATCAGATTAAAAATGACTATAATACACAGATTTATTCGAACTGGTATTCTTATTTCTGTTTGAATTTCTTGGATGAGGATTATTTTACACGATTTACATTCAGACTATTGTCATGATCTTTGTTGTTTTTATAAACAACGATTTGGCCGTTATGTTCTGAACTGAACCCTTTATGTAATTTACGGGTGTACGATGTTCCCGTTCCACTCCCCATGACTAAGGATATCGTCTAGTTTTTATTTAGTACTGCAAAGTTACTGTTAACCCTGTTTCCACATTTTCAAGTACACACTGCTCGGCCCAGAAATTGAACTCGCAATTATTGTATCACCAAGTTCACGAAATAACAATTTAATCCGCTACGGTATTGTCCCGTTTAGGTTACTCGGATTGACACACACCTGATGAAGGCCGGAGGAAGCAACGGCCGAAACGTTGTGATAACAAAAATAAAGATGATGAAAATAACCCGTATGTCTATAAATTTAGTAATGGTAATTCTTATCTTGTTTCTTTATACGCAAAATTCCAAATCTTGTACTCTTCGGCCTTTTACAAGTGTTTAGTGCTTTCTATAAATTTCGATCATTTATTCGATCAGTTGGAAGTGATTGTTCTCATCTTTCTGTCCATGGCAGGCGATAATCTCCTATAATTCTCTGTTAATTGTTCTAATAGACTTATAAAAATGTAATGGATTCTGAACAGGGTTATAAAAATGTATTGCATTCTGAACAGGCTTTTAAAAATGTAATGGTTTCTGAACAGAGTTATAAAAATGTAATGGATTCGGAACAGGGTTATAAAAATGCAATGAATTCTGAACAGGTTTATAAAAATGTATTGGATTCTGAACAGGGTTATAAAATGTATTTGATTCTAAACAGGGTTATAAAATGTATTTGATTCTGAACAGGCTTATAAAAATGTAATGGATTTTGAACAGGCTTAAAAATGTAATGGATTCTGAACAGGCTTATAAAAATGTAATGGATTCTGAACAGGCTTATAAAAATGTATTGGATTCTGAACTGGCTTATAAAAATGTAATGGATTCTGAACAGGCTTATAAAAATGTAATGGATTCTGAACAGGTTTATAAAAATGTAATGGATTCTGAACAGTGTTATAAAAAATGTAATTGTCTGAACAGTATAAAAAAAATAAAGCGTCACATCTGAAATTATTTAACAAGGATGAGAGCCAGCACCGGGTAGACAATTGATCCAGAAAATTATTAATTTAAATAAAGCGTTTCATTTGATTTCTTTTTTAAAAGTAATGAAAAATTATGATTATTAATTTTTTGAAATTAGGATTACTAATGTTTTGAATTTCAACCGCTAAAATTCTTCCGGCCTTCTTCGTTTAGTTTTATTTATTTTACTTTTAAACAATTTAATGTTGTTTTATTGATTCCGCAAGATTTTGAAACGTTCATTCTGAATTTCTTTTCTATTCAGCGGTTCTCCTCTATTACTGATATGTACGCTTGTGTGACTAATTGAACGGTTTGGGTTTAGTGTGTGTGTGTCGATTCTTTGAACCATCTTATTCTCCAGTACTACCTCCTGTCACATATCATCATATTGTAGTTGCTAAGGAAGCATCCTCTCGTTATTATGTTTTTATAGGATAGAAGCTATCTGAGCAGGACGAACTCCTTATCAGAGGAACACAAAAAGATTTAGAATGGTTTGCAGCTGTGAACATGTAATGTCGCGTCACAGATGTGAATGGCTGAACTAGTATCACTAAAGAATGTGACTCGTCCAAACATCTGCCATAGCAATAGCGATAGAGTAGTGAGCGGATTGCAATGTTTCTTTTGTGGGATAATGGTTACAGAGTGGAGAATAATTCATCACTCGCAAGGCGGTGTAATAATTTTTTAACTGTCTGCGATGGATCGTGAGGATTGGGTAACACCAGACCAGATATGGCAGCAATACTTCATTCTTGTTTTGATTTGAATCTTATAAAGATCAAGCATGGCAGCAAGAGTCTGGTATTTTCTGCAGCGTTTCAAGGAACCGACTATTCTTCCAGAATCTTTTGCAATTTCACGAATATACGCGTTCTATTTTAGGTTGGGAATAAGCTTTAGACTCATTAGGCGTTCAAGGCAAGGAGCCTCTTTTAGGATATGACCTCTCATCAGGATTGTCATAGATTTAAGGTCTGACCGATGGTGATGAAATGTAATTAGCTTTGTTTTGGAGATATTAAATGATAAGAGTCAATCTCTCTCGCATTGATCTGTGAGTGTTAGGCCAGAAGAAAGGTCAGCGGCCAGGTAGTGGTCATCCAGATATTTGCAGGTGTACCCCTGTACTGGGCTGTCATTTGCATATATATTTACTAAGGATCTGAAAACATATCTTTAGGCAGATCTTTAATACAAATTAGAAATAGGGTGGCAGAAAGAGTCTTGGGAAATGTCAGCATTCATCTCTTGTGCCTCAGAGGACTGGCCATTAACGACGGCCTTCATCGACCCAACTTATGAGAAGGACTTCATAACTGAGTGAACTCTGCTAGACATTCCATAATTGCTAAGTTTGTGAAGCAATCCCCTGTGCTACATATGTGCTTTCATGATGTCTAAGCCGATCACTTCCGAGATATCTTTTTTTTTATTATCAAGTGCTTCACAATTTTTTGTTATTTTAGGTCCATCAGTGAACATAAAAGAGCGGAAATCATATTTCTTGTCGCACAGGAGTTTGTTTTACTTGAGGTGTTCAACAACTTTCATGTTGATGATAGCTTCAAAAAGTTGTCTAATGAAACGAAGGAGGCTGATGGAGAGATATCGAGACAGGAACAAGGTCTCACCTGCGTTATTGTACACAGGGCACACTAGACAAAATCCAGGGGCTGGGAAACTTGTTCTTAAGGCAGTAGTTAAATGGCTTCGCCAAGATTGGAAATATTTCTAACATAAGTTTCTGGAAAAAAAAACTACAAGGATTTTGCACGGACCGGTAGCCTTCGTAGAGCCAAGGTCTTTGATATGTCTGGCAGGCTCCTGAACCAATAAAATGATATCACAAAGCTTGCGGCAAAAATTAGCTAAGTTTTGTGATGTCAACGAACACACTTTGCAACTTTTGTAATGCCAATGAATACTCGTTGTCACTTTCGTAAATGCTCGTTGTAGTAGAGACTTTGTAATCGCAGATACAACTATACTGGTGCCGTTGAACAATACTGGTGTCAGACACTTTCTAACAGCACTCGCACTAATAGTGCTTGCTTGAATAGTAATCCGTATAGTGATCCCAATAGATAAATAGTATATTGAACAGAGTAGAGAATAGCGGTCCGTATAGTAATAGAGAATAGAATAGAAATAACGATCCGAATAGTAATAGAGGATAGACTAAAAATGAAGATCAATTTGACACACCCTACCTCCCATATATGCGTTTCCTCTATGGTTAGGTGGTTTACTTAATTCAATAATGGGATCGCCTGTGTTTGCTCACTGGCGATCTATGTTCAATCTCAAGTATCGATAGGGACACTTTATTCCTATATAACATTAAGGAATGTTTTTCGTTCTCTAACCTAGAATTATATGCAAATTTCACTGAAAAAAAAATAATATGCATTCAAAGAATGTCCAAAATTAAAACGGCTGAAATGACGTAAGAAGAAAAAAGTTCGATAAGAGAATTTGTTTTTAAAATAATGAGTAAGAACGCCTTATTAAGACAAACAATATGAAATCATATTTTTATTTGAAATACGCACCATAGCAAAAGGCGAATAGACATATGCACAAGACGAACATTGAGAATGAGTTGCAGAATATAAATGCAAAAGAAGAGGCTGACGTGCCAAACAATGAAAACATCAGAAGGTAACTTGTAGGGATGTGCAACATGTCAGCAAGAATTCCAGCAGAAATTTCGCTAACTGCAAAAACTGCGCCGTAAATTGACATTATCAAGGCTCCTTGTTCGAGTGTGAGTCCGACATTCGTCACTTTTGCAGGAACATACATCATTACCATTGTGTTGGCTGGAAAAATTACAACGAAAACAATTTAAACAGGGATATTTTTATAGAACATTATTTCAACAATTTCTTTAGATAGATAGATAGATAGATAGATAGATAGATAGATAGATAGATAGATCTATAAAAAATTCCCCTGAAACAATTGCCGACAACTAAAAGTTTCATGCGTTCTCAGGCAACCATCAGGCAATCAACAACATATATTTGTGAAAATGGGCATTTTATACTCCTTTGACAAGATGTTACAAGGGTTGTTGATGCATACATATCATGAATACAGCAACAAAACTCACCGATAGAGGAAATGCGGAGTGCGCTTCTATAGCAGACCTCTTTAGAAGATATATATATATATATATATATATATATATATATATATATATATACACCGGTATAACAGCAAAATTATCCAAATCGTGTAACCGCAAAATTATCCAAATCGTGTAACCGCAAAGTTTTTCAATTTTTAGATTAAATTATGAACTATTGTATCTTAGAATATATATATATATATATATATATATATATATATGTATGTGTGTGTGTGTGTGTGTGTGTGTGTGTGTGTGTGTGTGTGTGTGTGTGTGTGTGTGTGTGTGTGTTTTGGGTGATTTTTTTTTTAATTAAAACCTTTCTTCTGGATCAAAACTTTTTTTTCAACAAAATGCCCAAAACACGTAACCTTACACTTGAACAAAGACAAGAGAACTTGCTTAAGAAAAAGATGGAATATTCAAGCAGATAAATTTAAAAAAAAAATTCCCAGAACTACAGGGGATTATACTGTTAAGAGACTTCAGGAAACGGGACAAAGCAAGACCAAAAGTAGAACTGGTAGACCAAAAGCAACATCAAGAGCTGAGGACATTAGAGTTACCAGCTGGTGTGACAGAAGGCTGACTGCTCCAAACATCACTGCACAACTGAACCAATGTTGTGAATAAAAAATTATCAGCATCCACTGTGAAGAGAAGACTCTGTGAAGCATGTATGGCAGAACTGCTGTCAATAAACTGTTGAGGAATCAAAACAATACCAAAAGGCTCCAGTCGGCCAAGGTGCACAAAGACTGGGCAACAGAGCAGTGGAATAAAGTCTTTTGGTCTGACAAATCAAAGTTCCAAATATTTGGTTCAAATAGGAGGGTCTATGTGCAGTGAAGTGTGGGTGAATGAGCTGCAACCCGCTGTATCACACCAATCGTAAAGCATGGATGAGGCTCAGTTATGGTGTGTGTGTGTGTGTGTGGGGGGGGGCTTTTGCTAATTGAAAAGTCAGGGATTTGTACCAGGTGAAGGGCAAACTGAATCAGACCAGCTATTACAGCATACTGCAGGGTCACGCAATTCCATCTGGAACTCGGCTAGTGGGTAAAGGATTATTACTCAAGCAAGATAATAACCCAAAGAATGCTAGTAAAATCTGCCAGAGGTACATTAAAAGCAAAGAGGAACAGCCCATCCTTCAATTGATATCTTGGCTGGCGCAATCAGTGGACTTAAATCTCATTGAACCAGTGTGGGATGAACTTGACCAAAAAGTCGGAGCTGAACAACCCACCAGTGTAGCCCATCCCTGGGAACTGTTGTAGGAAAGCTTGGCAGGACTACCTCCAGTCTTTAGTGGAAGGAATGCCGAGAATCTGTGAAGCAGTGATAGTGGTCAAAGGGGTCATTTTGATGTTTAAGAATTTCTTTTTGTGTTTTTTGGTTTAATTTGTATTTAAATAAATAAAACCACCGTGGTGCTTAATTTATTTAATTGAAAATGAAACTTTTAAGATGAGAAATAAAAAAAAAATTAAGGGTTGCCAAATACTTTTGACTGTTAGTGTATATATATATATATATATATATATATATATATATATATATATATATATATATGTATGTATGGTCAGTTCTTTTTATTAATCTTTTAATAACTTCAGCCTTTTTCTAACTTGTTCTGTCTATCATTTCTTTTTAGATAAGGAATGATAAGCATCAAATTAACTCAGTAAATATAAAGGTAGTTGTTGTAATTGTTGCCTTAATGGCAGAGCATAGTTGTTTACAGATTGCTCGCTTCCTGACAGTTGTACAGTCGTATGTTGTCAAAGTTTGCAAAAGGATGGAAAACATCAACAGGGATTCTAGAGCAATAACCAAGTGTAGAACCTGCTTCAGTCCTTAAATACATTCATAAACCTTCAATTTGGATGAAAGGTGCAGAAAATTATCAATAAGGACCCTAGAAAGTAAATTATTGCTATTGCTAAGAAGATCAAGATTTCAAGGCTTTCAGTTAGAAGGATTGTGAATGGGAACTTTTGATACAGGTTTTATGCTATGTGGAAAGGCCAATTCATGTCTAAAAAGGCAAAAGATAGTCGCCCAATATGTTGAATTTGTTGAATAAGTTAACAAATCAAGAGCCAGGTATGCTTTACTTGGTTCTTATCAGAAATAATCAAGGCCAAACGGTCAATCAAAAGAATGACAAATGGCTTTGCACAGACACTATGGCCACCCCAATGGTCATTCACAGAAAATGTCTGGTAAGTTCTGGGAGTAATGGGTAGCAAGATAGATGTCATACCTCCTCACTTCTTTCCTCAGGGCTTTAGGGTCAACGCTGCTGACTGTAACGGAGTGTTTTCTGTGAGTAAAGGAAGACTATGCACCTACCAACAAGATGCTGTGCCATCTTAAAAGCCAAGACAACCGCGGAGGGATGATTCTCCATGATCACGGCATCCCAAATATATGTGCCCCAAGCTCTTCAGTTCATTGGACTATTTCATATGGGGCATAGACAAGCAGGCAGTCAATCAGCACCTCTATAATACTATAAAAAAACTCTGCCATAACTAGCATAATTTCCAAAATAGATAAAGATCATCTGATTCTAGCATGTCATTTTCATGTCTTATGCGTCTTTTACTAAATTCATGCAAATTTCCTTGAAGAACAAGGAACCCTGTACACACACACACACACACACACACACACACACACACACACACACACACACATATATATATATATATATATATATATATATATATATATATATATATATACAAATTTTCGGGCAGCCCTTTGGATTTAATTATTAGTAAGTTTCATGCCTTCTTTGGTTTAATTAATTCCTACTAAGTTAGGATAGTGAAATTATTTAATCTGTTATTGCATGGCTTTTCTTAAGATGAATGGTGAAAAAAGTCTTTGAATGAGTAAAGCCTGAGGGTCTTGGCAAATATCATCCGTCTTTGAAACTTGTGGACTGGCGCTATAGAATCACAAACAAAGAACTGTACCAAATAACTGAAACCACATCTAAAATGGGCAGCAACAAGTGAAATGGACAGCACATATAACTTGAAGAGAAAATAATGATATAATCAAAATGTTTATATTCCACAGATCTTCAAATGGAAAGTTTAGAAGGAAAGCCCCTTCAGTACTGGAAAGAGTGATAAAAGCTACTGGATTTGAGAAAAGTGTTCTCATAAAAAAAAAGTGTTTAAGAGAAAGATTTTATAAACTTCAACCAAAAATAGTAGTAGCTGCTCAGTCAATAAATGCCAAATGTTTACTAGTAGGGAGACTGTTAATATTACCATTACCATCATTTTATTTAGAGAGTGTTACCTAAAGTTTAAAATCTAAAATTAACATTAACATACAATGTAGAAAAGACAAGAAGAGCAAAAGTTTTAAAGTAATTTTATGCAGTAACGGGTTAATTTCGTTGTTGTTGTTGTTGTTGTTATTATTATTATTATTATTATTATTATTATTACTTAATATATGACAAAACAATTTGTGAAGAGAAAGAGTCTCTCTGCCCAGAGAGAGCTTGTTAGTTACTTTTCAAAAAGGTATTAAACCTTTGCATTATAAGTGATTCATCCAAATGCTGAGTGTCAATCCAAAGATTTGGTATATACTGCATGTGCATTCATTAGACAGTCCATTTAATAAAGAAAAATAGAAGCTTTTTTAATCATTTCACCCATGCAAAGCAATAAAGCCACTAGGATCCAGAGATACTGAGTGTAAGAAAATATGAGAAATAAAATCCTATTAAGGTGAGAGAACAATAAAATAAAAGGAATTAAGAAGATGGAAGATAAAAATTTCATTTAAAATTTCATTTAAAATTTAGAAAGTCAATGTTGACAGGGAAATAAGAAAAGAGTTCAACAAGTCTGACAGGAAACTAGAAATTGACTCACTATAGCCTTTCCACTTCATGCCAATGGAAAACATTTGCCCAAGAATGCACAATAAGTCACTCTCTTTTATACATGCCTTCGGTGGTCGAGTTAATATCGAGAAATCCATGGTTTTGCCCCAAAATATGGCATATAATACATATATGTAGTCTTTTATACATTAAATTTGAAAAGGAAACGGCAAGAATTTGACACAGTCAGAAAATGTAATTACTTGTAGAAATATCTATATATACAAAATTATATGTCTTTGTTCAAAAGAAGAGCATAATATATATGAAATGTAAAAAATAAACTTATATTTCAGGATTTTGTCTCAGTCTTGTGATACATAATGTTCAAAATGCAAATAAAGGATATAATTAATGAGATTTCCAGTTCATTCATATCAACATAATGTATTTGATGACAGGAAAAAGGAATAAATATGGAAGATTGTTCTAAAAATGCTAAAAAAGAATATTCTAAGAAACATTCAGATTATAATAAGAAATGAAAGAAAATGATTATATTAAAAAAATAGATGAACAAGGGAATTCAAACAAATGCTTGAATGACAAAGACTATTTCAAAAGTACTAAAAAGGTAAGAAATATTATAAGAAATGAAAGAAAATAATTAAGAGAAGGTAAGACATACTAGAAATTTAGAGAATATTATCAGAAATGAAAGAAAATGATTACTCTTAGAAATATGAGAAACACAAGGCATATTATAAGAAATGAAGTTGATTATTCTTAGAAATACTAGAAAGGCCAAGAATATTATAAGAAATGAAAGAAAATAGTTATTCTTAGAAATATTACAAATGCAAGAAATATAAGAAATGAAAAAGATATGATTATTTGTAGAAATTCTAGAAAAGCAATAACATTTTACAAAATGAAAGAAAATTATCATTCTTCAATATACTAGAAAAGGTAGGAGGAATATTATAAGAAATGAAAGAAATTCTTTATTCTTAGCAATACTATGTAAGATTGGAATATTATAAGAAATGAAAGAAATTCTTTATTCTTAGAAATACTAGACAACAAGCAAAATTATGAGAAAGGAAAAAAATGTATTATTCTTAGAAATAAATAGAAAGGCAAGTAATATTATTACAAATGAAAGAAATTGAATATTCTTAGAAATTCCAGACATTAAAGGAACACTATAAGTAATGAAAGAAATGATTATTCTTAGAAATACTAGAATGCAATGGATATTAGAAGAAATGAAAGAAATTCTTTATTCTTAGAGATACTAGAAAGGGAAGTTACATTATAAGAAATTAGAGAAAATATTTATTCTTCGAAATACTAGAAAGGCAAAAAATATTATAAGAAATGAAAGGAAATGTTTATTCTTAGAAATTCTAGAAACTGTAGGGATATTATAAGAAATGAAAGAGAATTATTATTTCTAGAAATATTATAAGAAATAAAAGGCAATTATACTTAGAAATACTAGAAAGGCAGGCAAAGAAAAAAATTATAAGAAATGAATGAAAATTATTATTCTTAGAAATACTAGAAAAGCAAGTAATATTATAATAAAAAAATAAGATTTTCATTCGTAGAATGTTTATTATGATAATGAATGTTGTAGCATACCTACAGGTGATAATGGGTATCTCCCCATTCACATAAATATAGTAGTATATGCTATATGTTGGTCTGCAGTTGGAGATTCATTGTGGAATTCACTTGACTCACTTCTAGCAGTTCACTACTTCTTCTATGCACTGCTGGCAAATCTTATATGTATTATCGTTTATTACCAACCTTCATGTGATTATTCTATTCAGTAACCTTCCGTAGGTTACAACAATGAATATTCTATGAGCTGAAAGAATGTTAATATCTCTAGTTATACCAGAAGTGCATGATATAATTTAAGAAATGAATTAAATTATTCCTGTTTTTGTGATACCAAAATTTTTTGGAGTAAATATGACAATCCCAGTAATACTAATGAACTATGCAAGATGCCTTAAATTAAAAAGTCAGAGTTAGTCAAGTGAAATCTGTTGGAATGTGTCAAGAAGAATTACTAATGATGTCAAGGTGATTAGCCTAAGTGAGACATAATATTAAAACTTCTAGGAGCAAGTTATGATACAAAATGAAATTGAATATCCTAGGAAATGAGAGAAAATGATTATTCTTTGGAATAGTTGAATGGTAAGCAATATTACAAGAATTACTATTATATCAATGACTAAGAAATACTAAAATAACAATATTGTAAGAAATACTATTATGATGAGGACTATTCTATGACGTTTATTTGCATGGTAAGTATTTGTGAATTATCATTTCATGTTATTAATTATTTTTTCATATTAAATGAAAGCATTTGAATTCAGAAGGTTATTGCAGAAAAAGAATCATTTTTTTACAATTTATAAATTTTTTTTTTAAGCGTTCCACCTCAAGCAAGGCGGGAAGCCACTAGGACACAAGGGGTTACAGAAGATTTGGAGCAAGATCAGATAGGAGTGATAGAGGAAAGGATGAGGAGAAGGATAGTGGATAGATCAAGGCAACTGGAGATGTCAATTGACATTACATTTGAATAGTTGGAGATTATAGCTCTCAGGGAAACTGGAATAGGGAAGGGAGTTCCACAGGCGAGAGGTGCGAGACATGAAGCTATTGGAGTAGAAGAGACGGCTACATTTAGGAGTTTCGACAGTGAAAGGGTGAGAGCGGGATGCTCATGAAGTCTGGGAACCAGCGAATGCAGCTCCTCGGAGCAATTACCATGAAAGTATTTGTAAAAAAGACAGAGAGAAGCGACGGCGCGTCTGTGAGAGAGCGACTGTAGACGAGATGCCAGAACAGGGCCAATTATATTGCATATCCGCCTCTGGAGCTTATCAAGAACCCCGAGACAAACAGAAGGGGCTCCAGACCATATATGGCAGCAATACTCCATATAAATTGTTTATTTTTTTTTATTATTATTCATAACATTAATTACATTCAATCATAAACATCTTTAACTTACTTGTCCCCAAAAAGTAAATGGCTAAAAGCAATTGCATGCTGCGATTTTTCATAACATCTGTATCAAATATTATTTTCTGGAGTTCAGAGCATTTGCTTGAAAATTTACTTGCAGTTGTTGGTGGGCTGTTTCTATAAAATTTAGTTTTTTCAGTGACATCAGATTTGTTTGCCTGAAAATCAAGAAGATTGAATTCTTTTGTAAATTTGAGTGGTCAAAACTATGTGCATATATCAAACTGTATTACTGAATCTACAAAAAAATTGCCATTAAATTAAAATGTCTAAAACCCACTCAGATTCATACGTTCCTCTCTCCACAAAATATTTAGATTCACACACATACATACATACATACATACATATATATATTAATAAATACACATATATGTATCCCTACGTTTTGGCGTATGACTTAAGTATCACTGGTTTTCCAGCTCATCGGACACAAGGTATATTTTATGTTTTTATAAAAAATACACAGATGCCATATAGGATGAACGATGTTTATAGTCCAAAAATAAAATATTACAAAAGATTCAGGAAATGAATTGCGGATAATGTTCATTTTCAAAAAAAAAAAATAAAAAAATAAAAAATGGAGGAATTAAAAAAAAATTAAATAAAAAAAGGCAAAAATAGAAATCTCAAATTTTAAATTTCAAATTATTACTGTAGATGCTGCTCTGCTTCTGATCCTGCTTGCCAAGTTAAAGTAGATAAACAGTGTGAAACCTAACACTTAAAAGAAAAATTTTAAATTAATAAAAAAATAATTTATCCTGGCTTCTAGTATTGTAAGATAAACGAGTTTTTTTGTGCTTACTGGCTATCATCAACTCATTCCTTTTATTAAGCAGACTATCATTGTTATTATCATTGAGGATGATATTTTTCTAATAGGCACAGGTTGCAACGCCCCTCCCGCCGCTCTGGAAAATGGTTTAGTTTGGGCTACGAATTCCCAAATTACATAAAGTGCGTAGGCATCTGTTTTGATATTCCAGTAAAATAAATAATCATTAAATTTATTCATGAGGTGTAAACATAATAGTGCTCGATGTCGTTAGACCGAGCAAAGATATATATATTAATAAATACACATATGCGTATACCTATATTTTTTGGTGTGCGTGCGACTTAAGTTTCGCTGGTTTTCCAGCTCATCGGATACAAAGTATATGAAACTGCTCATGTGATTATAGGAACTTCTTTAAAAAATTCTTTGGGTACACCCAATATAAACATTTTTGTTCTCACTACTAAAGCTAGGTTTATTTCTGTATATCTCCACTTTGTAAACTACGCATTTATACTGGCACTTGCCCTTAAGTAGGCAAGACGCCTTATTTCTGCAATTACATTTAGGGGGATTGGAATTTTGTTTATTTTTAGTCTTTTTAACATTATTTTTGTTAATCAAATTAGCTATTTTGGACATAGAATTATAGCTCAATTTGTATTCTTATTGGAAATTTTGTGTAAAGCGTTGGATGGGGGAATTCTTTTTTAATAGTTTAAAAAATTTCTTTCCTCTTTTGGTGGTTACATCTAAAATGTATAGTGGGGAAAACTACAATATTTTTCTAGTCCTATTTTTTCTCCTACCGAAAATATTGGTAGAATTATTAGTATTCATATATATTAGCTTGGCTTTGTATCCACTTTTTTCCAATGCCATCTCGTAATTGTGTTTGTTTGTGTTGAAGATACTAGCGTTGGATGAATTTGTGAATAACCTAAAAAAATTCCGCTGGGGATTTGTTTAAAGACGTGTTTTGGGTGGTTGGGACATATAGCAATATAGCAGGGCTATTGGTAAATTTTTCTACTTATCCATTTCCAGGGATCTCTTTGCATTGGCACTGGAATTCGCTACCGTGTACTCTGGTCTTTCAAACAAGGAAATGGACATTGTTATGGACCCTAGAAAATCGATCCTTATCCATAACAAAGAACAATGGATAAAAAATAATGCAGTTGACTAATTTAATATTGCAACGGGATCGTTAGACTCTGCTGGGTCTTCCGACCTTGTTGATTTGTTCATTTTATATAACCTTAGTGCTCACCATGATATCAACATAAAAGACATAGGTTTATATAGAGATGACGGACTTATAGTGATAAAAAAATCTACAAAAATTAAAATTGAAAATATCAGGAAATTAATACATAGGGTATTTAAACGTCTAAATCTGAAAGTTATACACAGATTTTAAAAAAAGTAGATTTCCTCGATGTAACACTAGACTTAGTCAATAATACATACCAACCCTAAATGAAAACTAATACTAATCCATTATATATCCACCCAAATTCAAATCAACCTCAAACACACACCCTCATCCATAGTATATAGAATCAGTAATCCCGTGAAAATGTATTTTATAAACATAGCAAATTTTACAACACTTCTTTAAAAAATAGTGGCTATAAGTGTCCTGACATTAAATTTAGTAAAATAACAGTGTTAGTGGAAAAAATAGAAACAGAAAAATCATTTGGTCACACCCCCATTTAACCAAAATTTAATTGAGAAACACTTCCCTATTAATAATCTACTTAGTAAGATTTTTAATAAAAATACACTTAAATTAAGCTATAGCTGTACAGATAACATTGAAAAATTATTAAAAAACACAACAATTAAATTTTAAACCTAAGTAAAAATAGGCATCCCAAAGCAACAATCAATAATGATACCATCTTCTGGAATGGTAGAAATCCCAACGACTGTCCACTACAAAATAGATGTCTATCAGATTCCGTTATTTACCTAAGTACTATTTCATCTAGAGAAAATACAATAGATAAAAAAATGTAGTACTAAAAATTCCTTTAAAACTCAGCACATATCATCTTTCAACAATAATGCGTATCGTAACAGAACGTCTTTTTCTATATATTTTTGTCACTTCAAGAAGTTAACTAATCTCCTACGGTAATATTAAAAATAGCTAAACCTGTAAATCCTTACATGTTATATATATCCCCTATTTTTGCAAGAAAAATTGCATAATATAAAGTTTCCTAACAATGAAAACCTGTTAAACCAAAGAACTGAAATAACGGTGCTATGCCGGCATTGTCTACCTTTTAGTTTAAAATATAGTTAATGTTTTTTTTCATTAATAATTACGTATCATAATTGTATAGCCATTGTTTTATTAGTATATAATGGTCCACCCAACATTTATTTATTTTATTCAACTATAATATTGCCATGTTGTACCGTCTATTCATTATAATTAACAACCTATATAATTATTTCCACATTTTTAATTTTACTTAATGGCCCCTTTAAGAAGATTCCTGAGTATATTAAATAAATAAATAAAAAGACTAAAAAAAATCCGTTTCTGATAAATTTATATCTACTTCAACAAATCGGCAAATCATACTTGGATACAACAATGATACATTTGTCGCTGAAATTTTTCCCTCGTATCTTTGAATGACATGTCAAAGCATCAGTTTTCTTGACATGTAATAATAACCCACGCATCTCCATCCTCTGACCTTATTTTTAGATTTTAGCGTAAAACTGACGTTCATTGGTTAATCTAAACATACCCATGAGTATATTTTGAAATCTGAACATATATTTACCTCTTTAACTTTCGAAAAGAGATAAAGATTTGTTTTTTTAATTTCCCTAATAAATCATTTTTATCCTTAGTTATCTACCATCGCCTGAAGAAGTACCATCTTAGTACCGAAACATGAAAGTTTTTGTGTAACGATGCAAAATGTTTTTATTGTAATTTATTATAATAAAATATTATAATATATATAAAGATATTTTTGTAGGTACAAAATTTAATTACAGAAATAAAGGTGTGAAGGTTGATATGACCAGACATATTAAAAACGGGCGAAGCAACCAGTTTCGCTCCCGCTCTTCAGGCTTCCACGGGAGATTTAATTTAAATTAAAAACACTGAAAATGTACAATAAAAAGGTATCCTGAAATTTACCAGGATCATATTGTTTGTCAATAGTTGAGTTTTTCAACCATATGAACCTCTCCGACATCCCTTCTGTTTTAATGGTAGAATCTTGTTTACATCGAGAAAAGAGAAGGTACAGTTCTTCAGGACAGACGTGATCAATTTATGTGTGGTAGACAGATATGTTATTGCCCTATAATTTTTTGGATCATCTATTTCACCCTTTTTTGGTAGGAGATACGTATATAATATCTTCAGTGATCCATTCTGGGACTTCTTTGGGATTATTAATTAGCATCGTTCATATTTTCGCATTTGTTTTATGGATTGATGACAGAAGATAAAGCCCATAATTGAGTACCTTGTCATTTCCTGGGATTTCCATTCATGTTAGCTTGCCTAGCATTAGTTTTAGTTATAATTTCCCATTCTTGTAGAGGTTTACCTTTCATTATTATTATTATTATTATTATTATTATTACTTGTTTATGAACACGAATATATTTTTCAATAAAGATTTATATAAGATGTTGAAGGAAGAAGAATATATAGAAAGAAAAAATACATTGATATTTACATTTGTCTTTTCATTACTTTCAGTCGTCTTCTCGTCGTGCTCAAATGCTAAATTCATTTCTGGTTGAAGCGTTTCTGTATATTTCAATTGTATTTCTGAAGATAAGAGACATTGTATCTAACATTTTTGTATCAGAAAACATAAATGTAATATAATATTATTGTCCGGTATAATAAAGGATGAACACCTGACTTAATCTATCACGGAACAATTTTTCATTCACTCTGGATTTCGTAAATTGCTGCCGACTAGTGAATACGCGATGTCATGCGATGTATTGAGAAATCGATATTTTATATAAAATTCAAGATTTTAAATATAATTCAAAGATTTTATATAAAATTCAATATATTTTACATAAAATTCTAATATTTTAGATAAAATTCAAATATTTTATAAACATTCTACATTTTATATAAAATTTTACCATTTTATATAAAGATCTGTATTTTATATAAAATTCTGTATTATATGAAATTTTAATATTTTATATAAAATCCTGCATTTTTATAAAATCCCAATATTTAATATAAATATCTATATATTATATAAAATTCTATATTTTATGTAATATTTTAATATTTCACATAAAATTCTATATGATATGAAATTCTCTTATTTTATATAAAATTCTAATATTTAATATAAAATCAAAAAATTTCATATAAATCCTAATATTGTATATATAATTTAAATATTTTATATAAAAATTCAAATATTTTATATAAAATTTGATATTCTATATAAAATTCTGTTATTTTAAATAAAATTCTAATAATTTATAAAATTCTATATTTTATATAAAATTCTAATATTTTATATAAAGTTCTATAATACACGAAATTCTAATATTTATATAAAATACAGAAGTTTATATAAAATGCTCATATTTCATATAAAATTCTTTATTTAAACTTTTTCATATCCCCAATACTGTTCTTGATATATAAAAATATACATTATTCTCTCTCTCTCTCTCTCTCTCTCTCTCTCTCTCTCTCAAACACACACACACACATACGTAAACACACACCTATATAATGTGGGGAAAAAGTATTCGTACACATACAAATTTTTCATTTATTGTATTTCTAACTAACGAATCAACATAGTTTTATATAACTAACTGTACACAGATGAATAATAACTAAATATGCATAGAAAACAGAAATTCCTTTGATTTAATGGAAATTAATCTAAATCTGGGGACTGACTTGGCCATTTCAGAATTTAAATTATTTTAAACGTGCCATTTTTTCGTAGATTTTGCAGTGTGCTTAGGATCATTATCTTGTTGGAAGATCCCATACGGACGAAGTCCAAGAGTTTCAGCCGAAATCAATAAATTTGCCTCCAAAATATACTGCGCAATTCATTCTACCATTTATTACTGATATGTTACTTGTACCTTTTTGCAGAAAAAACATCCCCAAACCATGATGCTGCCACCACCAAATTTCACTGTTGGAACTGTGTTCTTTTGTTTGAAGGCATCGCCATCTTTTTTTCTGTACATGATTACTAGAATAACGTTCAAACAACACAATTTTGGTTTCGGCTGTCGATAATATTCTTTGCCATACGCTTTTTCCTTATCCTTATGTTCACGAACGAATTTCAACTTCGTATCTATGCTTCTTTTAAATAGCAGTGGATTTTTCCAAGGGGAATGTGACTTTAAATTGTTCTTATGAATTTCATTGCTTATCGACCGTTTAGTGACACAGGTTCATGATGAAAGCAAATAATCCCGCAACTCTTAACGAGAAACCATTGAATTTTACTTAATTTGACGCAGTAATTTCCTCGAAGAACTTGAAGAAATTTTCCGTGGAACACCTCATTGGTTTTCAACAGTTTTGAGGGTTTTTTTTATACCTTTCAGTGAACAAACTAAGGGTAGTAAATGGAACATTCAGGTTGTCTGAGATCTTCCTGTAACTTTTAATAATTTATTTATTAAGCAGGATATTTATTTATTGTCGTCTGAATATTCGAGAAAGCATATTAGAGAAAAATATGCACTTTCTGGCAAGATTCGAACTCGCGTCCCTTTGGGCAGAAGGAAACTGACTTGGTCACTAAGACATTTTGCTCGGCGGCAAATAGAATTTTCCATGTTATAAAATTCGACGGAATCTAATATTTTATTGAATTTTCAGTACTCCGGATTTATAGCCTTAATTTTATAAAATTACCAATAAATCTAAAACGTACTGTATTTAAAACTCTTATTTTCTGATAATATTGTGTATTGACGCACGTATTTACAAAAATCGGCACGTTTTTATACACAAAAAATTTAAAATTCTTTTTAAAATACTAGGTCATTGAATTGTAGTAAGTTTTTCCATTTATGATTAGGAAATATAGCTTTTATTTAATACTAGAAGCATTATCCGGCGTTGACTGGGTTTATTCAACAAAAGATCACGAAACTCATCCAATCTGCAAAGTTAAAATAAAGATTTTTCTTTAGTGCCTCTTATCTATATGGCGAACAATTATAATGACATGAACTGTGAAAACATTTATAACAGGAGAAAGTTGTTTTTTTACTGAAGCACAGAAGATACAAATAAATTTGTCAGCAAATGAAGAGTACATTAATCGCAATCGATCTTCGAAAATCGTTGAGGAGAAATGCTTTGTTGACAGCTTTTGCTCAAACTACATCGAATGAACAACAGGCATTGGAAGGAGAAGAAATTCAACAAAGAGTTCTCCTAGCAGCCGTGCCAAGGCTGAAAACAAACGTTCACAAAGACTGTATAGAATTGTTACTTGCACCTCAGTTTCGACAGCTGGAGTAGCACAGGTTCTGGCAACGATCCTTGCTCGTCTAGTTAACCGTTGCTCTTTAGTTTCTGATGACCTTGCATTAGCTGTACGAACAGCATTTTGTGTCAGTGTAATTTGTGTTTCTTGTTGCGAAGCGTTTCTTCTCCGTGCTTTCATGCGTTTGGCTGTAGTAGTAACACGTCCAAGTGAAGGATTTCACTTTCTCGGCATTACTGTCAGGCTGTAGTTGAAGGGACTTGGCTAAGCTTTTTGAATAACAATGAAGTAATCAATTAAAAAGCAAGAATATTATACACATTAATGGAAATATAGCCACAATAAATTAAATGCAAATTTATAAGGGAGACCGTTCTAGTAATAAAAATAAAAATGAACGTGCTGCTAGAAAAACGTTATTGTGATAAAAATAAAAATTAACGTGATAAAAATTAAAAAAAACGTTCTAATAATAAAAATAAAAATTAACGCGCTGCTAGAAACTTACTCACCAGTAACGTTAAAACGTACACGCTAAGTTTATCATAATTATAAATGAATCGATGAGGGTCTTACATTATTATGTGTCCATTTTTCAGAATAAAACTGTCAAAACTTTAGGGCTCAAATTTCCAAATATATGAGTTAGTAAGCATTATTTAAACGCCGATTAGAAGATGATAAATACATAATTAAAAATTGGCATTTACGCTTAAACTTTTTTATTAATATGATTTTCACAAATTTAAATTTAAAGTATCAAAAATTCGAAATATACATGCATGAAGGCAGCCTACCTTTTTATTGAATGACAACTTTGATGCGAATGAGATTTATTTCATCACATAGCACTAATGAACACTACACGTGAAGCAAAATCAAAATCACTACATAATTCGATCGATCATTGCACGTGGAGCAAAATCAATTGTACACTCTACACATCTCGATTGATCTCGCACAAGCGTCTTATACCTACGTGCACTTCTCTTATCGGTGCACACTTTCGTTTGCACTTACTCTTTTTTTCTTAAGGAAGGATATTATTTTGCGGTCAAGTTAATGCAGACTAAACTATTTCAGTACCAAAACGGGAAATCCATGGGAAAAACTGATATTTTTCATAAGATATTTATGACAGATGGAGTGTCAGTTTTGATATTCAGTTGATTGATCTAAACACAAATTATGTGCAAATTTTCATCGGAATACTGCTAACCACTACAATTGAAAGACTAATGGAGCAGCAAGATGTTCATGGGTCATCTTGGCGGCCCCTTATGTAGTTTTCAAAATCTGATAACCGTTTTTGATTCATTTTAAGATTGTAACATACATGTAAAATTCCGTCGAAATCGAAGCAATTTGAAAATTTGGGGGTCCCTTTGGTTCACCCTAGGGGTCCCAAATTTCAAGCCAAAGGACAGGTTTAAGACAAATATTAATTGAAATAATAAAGCAAATCATTTTAAGTTTTCTATTTAATCGACTTTATGGCCAAGGCTGTAGACTTAATTGAAAATTTCGGGGTTCTCTGCTGGTCCCCTAACTCGTGGGGGTCCCAGTGTTGATTTTCAGTGAATTCCAAGTGACTACTTCAGTTACTCGATATAATCTCAATATGTACTGAAATTTTCGTTGAAATTTGGGAATAGTGCGACAAAATACACTTGAAAAGCAATTGAGACATCAAGGGGTTTATAGGGTCATCCCGGGACCCCGTCATGCATTTTTAAAAATCTGACTACTGATTTCTATCTCATTTTAACAGCGTAACAAACATGCAAAATTTCATCAAAATCGAAGCAATTTGAATTTTTTGGGGTCCGTTTGGGGCACCCTGGAGGTCACAGTATCGAGAGAAATGAAAATGAATACAGCGTATAATAAACGTGACAGTAAGTTGCATACACTTATCAAGTTCCATTAAAATCGGCCTTAGGGTTTAGACTTTAAGTCTGAAAATTTAAAAACAACGACCTAATGAAAATTCCCATTTAAACATGATATTTATCGATTATCAGTTATTAATTTTTGAAAAATGACTAATTTTCCTCCCAGACACACCCAGTATCGAGTAGAATCTATGTTCCAAATTTGGCGGAAATATGCCTTATGGTTATCGAGTAGTTCGCGAGCACACACACATACACACACACACACACACACACACACATAGTCAGTTATATATATATATATATATATATATATATAGAGAGAGATAGAGAGAGAGAGAGATACTGTGGGAGAAAGAAAATATTTGCACGGATACAAAATTTTATTTACTGTATTTCTAACTAATGAATAAACAAACTTTTATATAATTAATTGTACACAGATGCATAACTAAATACGCATAGAAAACAAAAAAAGAAGGTTTAATAAAAATAAATCCCATTGATCCATTTTAATGAATGAAAAAGTATTCGTACAATACAAAAAATTATATATAATAATCTTCATTTAATATTTTGTAGAATAACCATTATTTACTTCTACAGCAACCAACATTTTTCATTTTTCCAATTATTAACTCAGATCAGTATTTAGATCCGACAAAAATAGAAATACGCCTTAAGATAAAAAAAATTGTTATCTAATGAAGCCCACCCCCATTTTAAACCCCTTCGGTTACAAAAGTAAATCATTTTTTTCTGAAGTAATTCAACAGTGCTTGAAAATGGACCGAAAATTTTAGTTCCGAAACAAGGGAATTTCCACGTCGCCATGATAAAATATTTTTTAAATATTTTAAATAACAATTTATATATATTTATATATATATATATATATATATATATATATATATATATATATATAGAGAGAGAGAGAGATAGATAGATAGATAGATAGATAGATAGATAATTCTTTATCAATCACAGTTCTTTTCAGTGAAACAAAAACTGAAAAATTCTTCTATCAAATCAATGGCTGTTGAATCGTATTCCTTTACAAAGAAAGTTTAAAGATTATAATTTTTATACATTCAGATTCAGTTTTTAATGTTCTGTTTACGAACTACTAACTTCGTTGTAAATTATGACCCAGGAAATACACTTACCTTGCTTTTTCTTATTATTTATGTTGGCGGTCTTAAGCGGCCGGCACAAGACGCCATAGATAACACAGTTTAAAAACAATCCACTTATTAATAAAAATGTTTTCCTCATACCATAAAAGGAAATGCTTCGTTCTAATAAATAATTAAGGACAAATGCACCAAATCCACTTCCACTATGACAGATTCCCACGGCCAATGTCCGTTTTTTCTTAAAATAAGATCCAACGATGGTGTTGCCGGCAAAATTTGCTATTCCAGCAAAACCGCCTGAAAGAACGAATGAGAAACGTTACTAACTCAAAAAGCGGAAGAATCAGTGAACAAATGGATAGTTATTAAAAATATATCCAGAAATCCTATATTTTTCAATTTATGAAAAAAGTTGAGACAATTCCCTGTTTTAAGAATTATGCTTCAGTAAATAACTTTGGATTACAATGTAAAGGCATTTTCTTTTATAATCACAATCCTAATTTCCTTTTGGCCTACCTAAGGTTGAGTCATCATGCAAGAAACAGAATTCAATCGCCTATGATTGTGTCCAGGCAAAAGGTGATGTTTCGAATGTTTAATTTTGATGGATCCACCACATGGTAGATTGTCATCATAGAATACACAATTTTCATGGAGACAAAAAGAATCATTGTAATTCTCGTTGAAATATCAAACACGGTGTCATAGAATTCATTGAACATTTTAGCTTTACTATTTATAATTAATATAACTATTTCCTTGTTAATTTAGTAGTAGATATAATTCACATCGATCGAACATTATACAATGAAAATTTCAAATTAAATTTCAACTAATACCCACGTTTCAGGCTACAGATTTGTCGATCCACTCTCGAATAAAATAATATGAAAACTTTATATGTTCCTACATTTGCACATGTACACAGATATGTATAATAAGCAAAAATATTCCTGCTTCCAAATCAACTGATGCTCTCGTCTTAGAATGGATCCTTTAAGGAATGATCCTTTTTAGATCCCAGAAAAAATTCAAGCAAAAAATCGAGCAGACAGCAGCAATTAATTCCTGAATGTTCTGCAGCCATAGATCACCATAACCACTACTACAATATCTATCACTTCCTGCATTCAGAATTACCCGCAATAATTGCAAGAAAGTTCTAGAAAATGTAAAGCGTACCTATGCACAAGCAGGTCAGACTATGACCGAAGGTAAACAATTTGGATCCCGAGTGTTCTAGAAGATCTCCAATCTTATTCTAAATAGAAACAAAAGCGTCTGTGTCTACGATTATAAATGAACTGAACATTAGATGACAAAAGCCATCCCCTTCCCTACTTCCGCCGTCTCACTTAGAAGAATCTCAGGAATAATTTTATTACAACACGGGAGTTCTCAAGACTTGACCCTAAGAAGTATACTGGTTCAAATAAAATCCCGAGTTATCCCCGATCTTAGCGAATTTTTTAAACCGGTGCTTGAAGGAAAATTCCTTGACTTCTCTTGATATCCTGAACCATTACAAGAGCCAAATCAAGCCGAAAAATGAGGTACTGCTGACCTATATGATTAGGAGCTGTCCAGTTTTCACGTTCCACTATCGCGAGAGTCCAAAAGCGACTACGCGGCATTGTGGGCGATGAATTATATTCTACCATACATATTCTACGTTTCCCGTTGATGAAACCTAGCAAATCTCTCGCTATTTCCATGGAAATTGTTCAGACGAACGAGATTCCTAAGTTCCACTAATTCTAACCTTCACGTCTACTAAATTCCATGCAATGCATATTGTAGCGAACAACCTTCATTACCTTCCTATTCCCTTGCTAAACAGTTTCTTCCCACGAACCGCTTGTTTATGGAATCGACTCCCAATAAGATGCTTCCACGTTCACTACAATCTTAATCTGTTAAAATCTAGGTTTTACCGTTATCTTCCCACATATCCGCATAAACTGTGGCTCGTACTCTATAACCTTAATGTATACATTTCTTTTCTAACAGAAAAATGTGTAACATATAAGAAGAAATGCTTTCATCTTTGAATAGACACCATTTCGTTCGCATGAACGTATTTTTTATTGATTGGTATTATCACAAAACATTTACTTATTGAAACCATAACACATGTTTTCTACTGTGTGCCATTTGTGAGGATTTTGATTTGACTACTTAAATAAAGCATTCTTGATCTTATTCACCCGTTAAACATATATACATTGTACCCTTTCTAAATTACTCAGACCTACCCGTTTGTTCAAAGTCATTTGAATCAACCTTCTTTCCTATAATGATACCTAAAATGAAATTGAGCTAGTCGTCATAACCATATTTAAATTGCTATATCCATTACAACGTCATTGATTGGTTAGAAATTTGTATTAAAGAGCATATGTTCACGCGTATTTTATTAAGTAACCAGTGGGTGTATAATATAATATGATTATCTGTATATAGAGATGTAGATATGTAGAAAAAAGGAAAATATATACGTTTGCACACATCATATATATGTTTGTGTCAGTTTTGAGTAGGAAGTGTAATATAATTGCAGAAAGATCTTAATAAAATGATCATAATGTCTTATCCGTGAATTTATTTGTATCTGACTGATACCATAACAAAAAAAAGTCTTGCTTGCTTGAAACTTTACATTTGTTTCTCACTATGTGTCTCACGCAAGGAGTTCGACTTTTTTCAATAAATCAAGTATTCTTGAACTCTAGACTAGATTTGCGGTTATGTAGGTGGCACTTAGGTTCATTCGATTCTACGTCAGACTCCGACTCACTTCTTCGGAGGGACGCTCATCTCGAAGTTTATTTTAACCGTGACTTTTATTCAGAATATAAACCAACAACTGGAATTCTCTGGCTTTTGGTTTAGTGAAACTTGACCCAGAAAGTTATGATTTATTTATTTACTGGTTTTATTTACGTTATCCATACTTGTTGATAGTTGGTAGTTAAAGATGTATAATTACTGTATGAAGCTGGCCCAAAACCTTTTCGTACCGGTGTATGTTTATGTCACTGTTTAAAAGGATGTATGTTATACAAGTGCAGAAGAATGTAGTAAAATTATCTAGGCCTACAGAGGACACTATTTCTTTCTCGATAACATAATTATAGCTGATCGATATTGTAACAAAATCGTCTGATTACTTTAACCGTATCACTTACCTCTTGTAAACACTTCAACTTAACTAAGTGAATCGAGCATTTTTAACCTTGCTCAACTGCCATATATATATATATATATATATATATATAGATAGATAGATAGATATTGATGCATGTTTCATTGAATAATATAGACAAGTTTTGTCTATTTATTTTATGTAAATTATTTTCATATCGTCTGATAAGCTTAATAACATTATCATTAAAAGAAGAAAGAAAATCACAATATTGATACATATTTTTTTAATCCTAAGTTTTCGGCTTACATAAGCCATTATCAAATATGACAATTACATTATTTATTGAAAGAATGCTGTCTAAATACATACAAATTAAATTACATGATCTAACAGCCCACCAAACTATCAAAACATGGAATTATAAATGTAGCCTTGTGAAAAGGCCACTTGAAATAATGTAATTGTCATCTTTGATAATGGCTTATGTAAGGCGAAAGCTTAGATAGGATTAAAAAAATATGTATCAATATTGTGATTTTCTTTCTTATTTTAATGATAATGTTATTAAGCTTATCAGACGATATGAAAATTTACATAAAATAAATAGACAAAACTTATCTATATTATTTAATGAAACATTCATCAATGAAAAATGCTGCCTAAATATATATATATATATATATATATATATATATATATATATATATATATATATATATATAAATGTAAATAGCAGGAGGCAGAATCACTCCGATTGATACAGCAACACAAGGTTCTGCTCACCTGAACCGTATCCCTTGTCTTCTCAATGTATCACACAAAATTCCCTTCGACTCACTGAATCAAGCATTTTTAACCTTACTTAACTGAGAAGTATTCATATACCCTAACTTTCAGCCGAACGGAAATGGTAAGAGGCAGCATCACAGAAGCAGTCTTCATAAAATTATCCAACAGCTTATCAGACATAAGTCGAATATTTCAGCTTTATTTTTATAATCAATTTTTTATTTTTGTATAAAAAGAAATAAATGTTCGCGTATTGATTCCCTTATTAATATTTACCATCTAATTCAGTTCTTTAATTCAGTTTGATAAATCGATATTTTATAATTGATCCCTGTATATTAATCTTTTGTTGACAAACTATGTGCCCCATTATTAATTTTATGATTAATTTTTATCATCTGGTTCAGTTCATTTGGATTAATCGACATTTTATAATTGATCCCTGCATATTCTTTTGTTGACAATTCATGTGCCTCATTATTGATTTCATTATTAACTTTTACCATCTGTTTCAATTCTGTTCGATTAATCAACATGTTATAATCGATCTCTATATATTATTATTTTGTTAACAAGCCATACGTCCCAATATTGGCTTAATCGTCACCATTATAACAAATATTAATCCTACTAATGCTACAAATACTGCAACAATTGTTACTATTAATAATAACAATAATAGTTTATAATTATTATTATTAGCTGAAAATTCATTTCCATGTGTATCGTAAATATTTCTACTAAATCTTTATATTTTGTAAAATCAATTTGGCATAACATTGTGAATCTAGGAAGGAAATAATTATTCTAGAGAAATATCTTTTGGGTGAATACGTTTGATACGCATTGAATACAATAAACGTATCAAGGCACTGCTACGAAATGTTATCAGAATGTTATCAAAAACTTTTCCAAGTTCAATTTCAGTCATGTTCGATTGGGGAATCTATTAAATCTCTAAAATAGCGATCTGCATCACTAAATGTTCTATGCTCATTATACACAAAGTAGAACATGTGCCAACAAAAAGAACTGACCTACAAAAAAGTAATAATGAGGTTTACTTTAAACCAGAACTTAATTTAGGAATAGTGAAAATGGATTAAATAAAAGCAGTAAAAAAAAAAAAAAATACTGGAAGCTAGACTCAATATAGAAAGCATGATGAATGTAAGCGTACTACTAAATTTGCATCTACGTTTCATTGTTTTACTGATGAATTAGTGACATGTAAGCGTAGCTTCTATTCGCACTTTTCACTTGAGGAAATCTCTTTCGGTTTCTTGCTTGCCTGACGCGCACAATCTTCAAAAATTGAAATGTAACGTCAATCGCCATCTTCAGATTTCCTGAAACCTGTCCTTTTATTGTCCTTTCTCTTCACTAATGTTTTTTCATTCGCTTTCACTCCCAGTACCCACTTGTGTTGTAGCGGCATTATCGCCTTGCTTTTGATAATTTAAAAACAAAAGAGGACAAATCATAGATGAGACTTGAAAGAAAGTAAACAGCTGGGTGAGTATCAGCTAACCAAGTGAGAAAATTTGGAAAATGAATGTGATAGTCGTGCTTATCATGATTAGCGATCTTGGAAAAGTCCCAGTCTTTAAAAATAATGATATTGAAAGAACTGGAAATTCCAGATAGAATCCGAACCACCCAAAGAGATAAATTATTGAGAAAACTACCATTTCTATAAATATTTCCACGGCAATTATTCTAATAAGCTGTTGTACTTGGTACCTCGACTGCCTGCATTTAAGCGGACTACTAGGTTAGTATAATGATTTTCTAAGCGCTGCTTAGATGTGGCACAAGGTCGGAAGTATGGAGCGCCCAGTGAGAATCGAACTCACTACTCAGTCGTAATATGTTCTAACAAGACAAGCTTACTAACCATTACACCACGCCGAGGTGCCCCAGAGATTTTCCAAGCGTAGTATGGGGTATCCAGTGAGGATACTTTTCAGTAGTAACTGATCTAGCAAGACAAGCTTGCTAACCATTACCGAGGTGCCCTAGTGATTTTCCAAGATGTTGCACAAGGCCGAAAGTATGGGGCACCCAGTGAGGATCGAACTCACTACTCTAGTGATTTTCTAAGCCCGGCTTAGATGCGGCACAAGGCCTAAAGTATGGGGCATCCAGTGAGGATCAAATTTTTCTAAACTGCTTGCAAATGACAAGGCTTTAGATGTCCTAGTGATTTTTCAAGTGCCACAAAGTATGGGGCATCCAGTGAGGAAAAGCTCAAACGCCCAGTAGTATGGGGCATCCAGTGAGGATCGAAAGAACTTTTCAGTAAAACTGATCTAGCAAGACAAGCTTGCTAAACATTACACCACGCCGAGGATGCCCATACTAGATTAGCATATAAGTCTTACTGTTTTACTTTTGAAATAGATAGATGTAACCGTATGTTCTATTCTATTAGTTTCTTTACTCAAAATTATAGTTTGTGGAACACTCTTCTGGTTTCTTAGTTGCCTGTTTTTTTTTGTTTGTTTGTTTCTTTTGGTTAACATTCTTAAAAAAATTGAAATGATTAAAAGAAATTCTTTGGAATGTGGTGGAAAGGGATATACAAATGCTGGACGCGCAAGAAACAATCAACTTAGAAGAACTGTGTCATGCCGTTATAACAACATTTCAAAAAATGCGAAAGAGTACTTCTAGAACTTTGTCGAATCGATGACAAGAAGAATTCAGGTTCTCCCAAAGGCAACATGAAGTCCATCTCGATACGGAAAGAGTAGGCCTAATCAAGTGACCGACTAATTTATATCTTTGACATCTAACAATGCAAGTCGGAGAAAGAAATGTAAGAATCTAGAAAAAAAAATTAAATAATAAATTTGAGAATTACTGAGGAAAGTGCTGGAGCAGACAGAAGACTTGCTATTACATGTGTTGTGGATCCCGCGTGAAAAATAGGTATCCAATAAATGACAAACGCAAGTATGTAAGCTAAGAAATTAAATGTATTTACACAAAATACCAAAGGTAATGCTGTTAGTAAAATCCAGGAACACGGTTAGTAGCAAATATAGATAGATATATACAGTCTCGAAGTAGGACTTCCTTAGAGTCTACGTGCTTGTAACTGACTTCTACAAGAGGTTACTTCACTCCATCCGACACTCACAGACGACTCTTGTACGACTCCGGTACGACTTTTGTACGACTCCTCTTCTCTGCCTGACTGTGGCTATTTTATGGCAGCAGGACGAGTCCATTATATCCGAAAAGGGTGGACCCCATAACAGCAACCAAATACAATCATGTGAAAACAAAACAAGTATAAAATAATAAGGAAGTAAAAGTAAATATTGGTATCGATTTACTAAAAGCATTTGCTCATTACCTGAGAGAATTCCATAGGTAACATAAAGAACTTCAACTTGGTCAACAAAAAAGCATCCAACGGTTGCCACAGCAGAAAGGAATCCTCCACTAATGATAACTTGTCGATGGCTTGCATTAAACATCATTAGAAGCAGCACAAACGGACCTGGTTAATGAAAAATATTCAAGTCAAGAACAAAATTGTCTCGGGATGGCAAATTTCTTCTTTTTAACATTGCCGTCTTTTATACATTGACCAATTTGCTAACTTACCAGCGCATAACCTGATTCCGCCGAAAATAGAACCGACCATGGCTGTTTTCGAAATAGAAACATGATAAAGTTCACTCATTCCAAGAAGGAGGATTCCATTTGAGGCAAACATTCCTCCAATTGTAAAATTAATCATGAATCCGGCAAAGCAAACAACCCAACCCCAACCACCATCAGGAATTAGAAGATCGTTTCCATCGTCAGGTTCTGTTTCTGATTCCATTTCCTTTGTTAGTTCTCCAGGGATACTTGTCTTTGTTTGTTTCATTCTAAAGAAAAAGAAGAAACATCAAAGTTAGTGATTTAAATTTACCAAAGTTCCAAAACTGATGAAATGAGCAATTGCTTCGCAAAATACCCAGATTTCCCAAAGAAAAATTATTTCTCTCTCTTCTCAGACAGAAAGGCACATACACACATTCTCTTTCTTATTTTGAAACATGTCATCAAATGATTAATACACATTTCGTACTGCCAATCAACACTTCGGGATATATAGATGGGCGAGGAATTAGTAGGGAAAAAAACTGACATAGCAGGAGTTGTTAGGATAATTTGTTTCATTTACCCACCTGGACAAGCAGGTGAAGCACTGAATAAAACACCTAATATTTGAAACAGGGTTCGCCTTCTTCATTTTCGACGTGGTATTTGTCTTTCATCGTGTTACGATGTGAACATGCACCACGCCCTTTCCCAGTTTTCGGTGCATACCGAGGAATTGGAATTTAACGTAGGTTGATCATTGACCAGTCGGTGGAAACGTTAGGCTAAGGTGACGAGGTGTGTTTCCATGTCTTTCCTTTCGCTCGGATTTTGAGAAGTGAGTTGGTGTAAAACGTCTTCGGCGGCCCATCGAGTATATACATATGTAATGTTTAAATGGAGTTTTTAATCCGTTATTAAATAGTTAAATTAATAACAACCGGCCTAGATAGAGAAGCCCTACTGAAGGACAATTGCATCTCCCGACGGGGATCAAACCTCTACCACCAGTTTCAATCAGGGAAACCACACCTATAGTCGAAGTGTGATGTGAGTTTATCTTGATACAGCAGGGTTTTAATTACTGTAGTGTATGCCTCGGCTACGAGACTGAATCTAATAGATATGGATTCGCAGAAAGTCTCATTGAGAACTGTATCTTCCTTAAATAGATAATTGTTGAAACTTGACTAATGCATGGAATAATAACACAACACAAAATGTACTTAGAACAAAATGTATTGAAACAAGAAAGTGTACACAATATTTACATATAGTCTTTTGTATATTCTTGGGAAGACCGTTCCTGGAGAATGTGTTGACTTAGTCGCAGTCGGGCAGAGTCTCTGGATTGAATCTCTTGATTCCTTTTCTCGTCTTCCCGGTACCAACCATATTTATATGGTCGGTACTCCACTATGCAAATTAGGTGGATCCTACCACAACAATAATTCAAACGTAGCTCTATTAATATGGCCTTCCTTGATCTCAACTGGTAGCGGTAAAATTTGGCTAGAGAATTCGGGTGTTTTTTTAAATTTTTTTTTTATAGAAAATGAGACACAGGTTCAATTCCCCCCGGGAGATATATTTTTTCTTTAGTAAGTTTTCCCTATTTAAGAAAATACAGGGTGAGCAACTCTAAAACGTGTACCCACTAAAATAATGTTTATAGTAATGATAGAAACATATATGTTTGACAAGGCGGGAAGCTATTATAATGTATTTCGTTCACAGTGTCCTCAGAAAAGTAATGAGTTTATTTTAAAATCTATTATTTTTATTTAATAATTTATTTTGACGTCTTTAAAGTTTTATCATCAGCACAATCGACAGTTCCTGTTATTAATATCGTAAGGAGATGCCATTTTTTATTATTTCCCATTTACACCTCGTATAGAAATATTTTCTTTCTATTGCCATATATATTTAAGAAGTGTAGTATTATTAGGATATCTATTGTCTCTCGAAAGCAATTTTGTCATTATTCTACCTTTCTTTTGGAGATTTTTCTATTCTTCCAATATACATTTTTATTCTATATTAGTTTGGATACAGTCTATATTGTTTGTATCCGTTTTTTCATTTATTATATTACTGAATACGATTTTTTTTTCAAGAATGCTTGTTGGTTAATTTATACAATTGCGGACAATATTATTATTATTATATTTTAATTTATTATCTTACTTACACTCGTGTATAGACGAAACATGGGGGTTTCTATACAAACAATAAAAAAAAAAACTGTTATTTTTGTAAGCGTAAGCGTTAATTGGTTTGGATTTCTAACGGAGATGATTTGATAAAAAAATAATCATTTGTTATTATTGTAAATGCAAGTTTAAGGATATATATATATATATATATATATATATATATATATATATATATATTAATTATTTTTTCAAAAATATGATTCCTTCGCTACATAAGAGTTCTCATGTTTCAAAAATGAGAGCTGAAAACCTCAATATAATTATTAAAATTAAATTGAGTTAAAGTATCAAGGCATGTTTCATCCTCAAGCGAAAATTTAGGAATAACCAATATTGAAATTTACGAATCTTTATAAGCATGTTCATTTGCAAAATTAATTACTATGGAAACGGCTATGGAAATTATAATTTAAATTCTACTTCTGTATGGAGCACAGTTTTTTAAAAATAAAAACAAAAATACTAAAGAACTCCGGATTATTTACCTAACGTGTTCTTTCCTATTTTTCTAAATATTTTCCCATACACACTTTGGACACACACACACACATATATATATATATATATATATATATATATATATATATATATATAAATTATTAACCTCGATAAGAGAAACTCGGATATAAGAGAGATTTTCTCTGGTCCCAAATTAGAACCTGTGTTAATGTATATATAATAGACCAAAGCCGGATATAAGAGAAACCCGAATATAAGAGGCTTCTTCTACGGTCCCGACAACTCTCTTATATCCAGGTTACACTGTATATATATATATGCCGAAAATCCTTTGTGCAAATTAAGAAGGTTTTCTAATCTAGATTCTTGAACACACATATAGAAAGGGAAGAGTTAGTTTTATCTCGATCTCAAGTGTTTATGCTTGGCAGACCAGCCAAGATGTCATTTTAAAATTCGGTCTTCTAAGATGCATCCTATTTGACCGAAGGTTAACGCGGAAGTAAAGGAGTGAATTAGGTATTTATATAGATCAAGTGACAACAAAACAGGAAATAAAAGTATATCTGGGTCCTGGTCTAATATTAATAATTATGCTTGTTACCGGCGAGAGTTTCTGGTCCGTTCTTCGGCGGAGACGAGTATATCCGCCGCACGTTTCAGAAGCCGCTATTTCGTATTGCCGATCACCACGTCGGGATGAATAGATGAGAGAGAGAGAGAGAGAGAGAGACAGAGAGAGAGAGAGAGAGAGAGAGAGAGAGAGAGAGGTGGGGGTAAAATTAAAATTGAATTGAGAATAAAATTAATTAGGGGGAAAAAGATCTTTTACCTGATTTGTTGCTGTGACGGATACCCTGAACAGTAAAATGGATGGAAGGAAACGAGAGATGAAAATAAAATAAAAAATTAAAGGTGATTGTTAATCGAAGAATTTCCATAGCAAAGTAGACGTATTTTACTGCGATCCATATGATTCTTAAGTGTTTTTTTTATGATAGAAAAATTGGAGAGAATTATTGTAATTATTTGCCACACAAAAACAGAAAAAGTCAGTAAAGAATTTCTGCAGTTTTTTCATTGAAAGTACTTTTTGTTTCTTAATACTTTGCTTTGCTTTTGGAAAATATTTTCGGATTTAAATGTCACAGTTCCTATCATCTGTTAAAACTTTTCCCAAATATTTAAATGTAAATTATTATATATTTTAATAAAATATGTCGGTAACAAGTCACTTCCTAACAATATAGATTTCTAAACAATATTATTTTTTTTAATTCAAAATTACTTCTTACCTTCACTTTGACAAGTTAATAGTGATAGGTAATTTCACTACTCAATATTCAATCACAGTCAAATAGTTTCATAGCTGATAATCAGAAACTTGAATTTAAAAATAAAAATTTATATTATTTCTTCGTAACCCCTCGTGCCTTTTCGGTGGTGTCAGGCTGAAGACATACAGTACAGTCTAGACGCGACCCCTGGTAAACTTTTAAATTGGTTCCAAAATAGTTGTTTTATACTTTAAATATGAGAAAATTCTTATACATGATTAAAAAAAAAATGGGACATGAATTTTATATTAGAAATTGTATTATGACAGAAAGAGAAAAAAAAAATTATGATTAAAGTTTACTCTCGTCAAAAATATTCGCGCTTCAAATTGATTACAGTAGTACAGATTTTGGTATTCGTTACAAAATCTTCTCAGAAGTATAAATTTGATAATTCATTCCATTCTTTTTTCAATGACACGAAGAGCTGTTTTTTTATGTTTTTATTTTTATTTTTTTCATTCTTATGTCAAGTTCATGCTATACTAATTCTGAGGGTCGCTTGAAACTTTTGAACTGTAATGTACTTATGAATATAAATTATTATTTTTTAAGCGTATTACTTATTGTTTCGAATACATTAATTTCAATTTCAGCTTTTAGGATTGTTTATTAAAACAATGAAACATTTTTTTTCAGATTTGTTGATATTAAATATTGAACGAAAACGGTGAAGTAAAAATGAAGAATAAAATAAAAAAATAAAATTAACTAACTCAAATAAGAAGATGCAAATAAAAAGCAAGCATTTCACTTACGTAGCAGATGAAATGTAACTTGTTTTTATGGTTCTACGGCGAGAGAAATTCGCCTCTCATAAATTGTCTTGTTATGATCGGAAATCCTTGAAAGCTGTTGCTTTTATCATTATTAATGTAAAATTGTCCATATCTCAATTGATGTTAGTACAACAGCTTTGATGAGGGGAGTTAGGTAGAAATAACTTTGGGAAAACGAAAGGATTACGTCTAAATCATTAAAAAGACGTTCACCGATTAACGATTCTTATCAAAAATGGGAATATGAATCTCAAATTCAGCAAAGAAAAATATTTGCAAAATTAAAAAGTCACCTTGACACTCACACACAAAAAAAAGTTATTTATAAAATTTATTTTGTAGTAAAAAAGGAAGATTTTGAAATGCCTTAAATTTTTTTCATAAACGTTTTTAAGGAAAATAAAATTTAATGAGGTTCTTATAAAGGGGAGAATTCCTTAATTTTCTTTTTATTTGTTGCTCTGAGATTAAAAAAAAATTAAAACGTTAAACTTTAATTAATTTAAATTTTAATCTTGTACTTGAAATTCAAGTGACCTACGTTTATGGTAAATTCATTAGATTTCACCTCTTGAGTAACATTCAGAGAGAATTTAGTAATTATTCCTTGGCCTGAAAGGGTTTTAGATCCCTGTTCAGTAACCTTTCTAGAGATAGTTTCTCAAAAAACAAAACAAAAAACAAACAAAAAACAAAAAAAAAAACAACCCCCCCCCAAAAAAAACAGCTTCCTATGCCGTAAAACAGATTAATAGGAGTCGATAGGTTCGCCTTATCTCCCGGTACGTACTCCTTCCGTATTTACTGAACAGTAGAAGTTTATCACTTGTTTCCTGTTTAGGACGTAGTTTACCAGTTACTTCTATTTCCATAATGATTTAAATGTCTTAACGTTTTTTGTGATCTGACTGATCAGTGTTTGCTACTTTTCGTTTTGAGAGTATAGACTTGGCAGTTTTCTGGTTGCCGCATCCAGACTGGTAGCAAGGAGCCCGAACTCTTTGATAGCACTTACAGAGATTTCCCTGGTCAACAGTGGCATAACTTTCCAGTGGGCGACAACGAAGCCAGACTATGCTTTAGTATTTACCACTTGCACGTTAGTTTGTAAAAATTTAAAAAGAAATCATCTCATAACAGCTAAAATTTACCGAAATAAGAGTAAATCAGTCATCAAAAAATCACCCACGCAACTCAAGTTTTCTTTTTCTAAAATTCGTGTTGTTCGTACCAATTTTTGCAGTGTAGAATCTTTTCTCTTGAAACATCTTCCATATATCTTAGAGAATTTTGAAACATTTAAACTTTTCTATCAATACCACTGAATTCGTTGTTTCAGGCTATCTTTCTCATTATCGAAATGATTTTAGGAAACACTTTTGCTTACATTCGAGAAAATCTTCCATTATCAAGGGAATCGTCTCTTGAATCCTCGAATGATTCTTTCGTGTGCTTTTGTCTTTCTTTATTGCAATCTGTTATCTATCTCTTTTTTCCTTATCGTCATCTTCTGTTTCCTTAAGTTCTGTTCTTTTATTGACCACTATTTAATAATTTTTTTCTCATATTCGTACACAATCAATAAATTCTTGTATCTCACTAACTTCATCGTCTTGCTTGGGGTGAAATGGTGAAAAACAATTCTCTAACAATTCATACAAAAATTATTTATAATAAAAATAATATTAAGATGGTATGAAAAACTTTTAAATAGTTACTAACACGGTTTCTTTAAGAAAGAAAATACCAAAATGTAGCCAGTTAGTTAAAAAAAAATCATGTACAAAATTTTACAAACGATAGGCTCAACTCTGATGTCAAAAACGCTCCAAATTTAAAGTTTGCAAACGGACATATTAACTTCGACATTTTAATCTATGGCGATACAAATTATATGTCCTTTTTTAACATATGAGTTCATTACAGTTGAATATCTTTTTTTTAAACTTGTCATATTTAAATAAATATAGTGTAACCTCATTTGTTATCAATAAATAAATCGAAAAGCTGCAGACCAAAGAAACATATATTGGATTAGTAGAATATCCAACATAGGTGAATAAATTGTTATTTTACATATGCTTTGAACATCTCGAAGGCATTTGACATTCATTTTGGAGGCATTCAAATTTACAAGTCATTTCTTGCACCAATTAATAATTGATTGAATGTCATCTTCGAGATAAGTTACCAGATTTCCTTTGTCGAACTTACTATTAAGGCTGAAGTAAATAGTTTATGTCTTCAACATAAATACCCAATTGAGAACTAATGACATCAGAAAGTCCGTTGATTAAAATAAGAAACAATGTAGGTCGAAGGATTGAGGCCCGAGGGATGCCCACGTTAATTAATATTTCATAATTTTCTCAGGGCTTTAGGCTTTCAAAATCCATTGGCAAATGTTTGTGGTTTGGCAGAATTGTGCATTGGGTCTCTTTGGTATTCGAGTGGGTATCAATATTAATTCAATTTTACCTAACCAATCTCTCTCTCTCTCTCTCTCTCTCACACACACACACACACACACACACACACACACACACACACATGATAAATTTAAGGTTGGAGTTAACTAGGAGTCTAGCAACCACGTTATCGAAACGACTACTTATGTCAAACGACTGGGAAAACTGCACCATTCTTTAGATAAGGTTATGCTTTCTACACTTTTCTCACACTTTCCTGAAAACATGCGTTGATATAATAAGATACACAACTGAACACTTCATTAATACTACGTTTATCTTATGTCTATGAACAAATGGAGATTTTAACTTTTGTATACTTGACAATAAATACTAAAGAAGAATGACCATGACTGTCTTGAAAAGAATACATTTCCAAATAATTAATTAGACACAGGGATATTTCGCTTGAAATCAATGCATAAACACTGTTTCCTGTATTGATTTTAACAGTCTTTAGAAAATACATAGATTTTTCCTGTGGCTATAGCATTCTTGATATCAAAAGATTGAATTGTTATTCCTGTTCTGATATGAAACTGGACTCTTCTTCTCAACAATTATTATGCTTGCGTCTTATTTCATTTTAGTTATATTCACTGATGTATAATTATTAATTGTTTGCCGTAATAATTAAGAGAAAGTAAATGTTTAAAGGTTTATTGATTACAAAATAAAAGAATATATTTCAAAAAGTTTTTTAATTGGTTTGAAAATACGTTTCCTTATGTTTCAGTTTTTGTTAAGAGAATTATGTAAACCGCAAAAAGTAAATAAATTGAAGAATGTAAGAAAGAATGGATGTTAGCTGCGATTTTCGCATCGATAATGTAGATCAAACCAGTCAGAAGGCACAAGAGAGAATATCTTTTGGTCAGGTTTCTCTCTCCCAAGATGGAAGCCACAAGCATCATTCAAAGGGTTAAGGCAAATCCTGAAAATCAAAAAACATTATTTTTATCTGAATATTTAAGATGAGAAATAACTGAAATCCAGTGACTTATTCGCACTGTTTTCCCATCTTGTTTGTTATACACAACATATCAGCCGCTGTAATCTCTGATCTTCTCTACGTGTCTGTTGTAATCGATAACCTTCTGCAAAATTTGAAAGAATCATTTATTCCCTAAATCCGAGGAAAATGTTTCCATTTTTCCAAGAAATAATCTGGCATTGTATTTTTTAATTCATTGGGATACAAGTTTCACTGCCTGACACAGGAATTTATCTCACAACCACTAGCTAACCAACGTTGTTTTCTGCCTGTCTTAACACCATACATACATTAAGTTTTGGTTAAATGGGTAGAAGTACGAATTAAGTAAGAGTTAAATATAATTAACTAATAATTAATTAAATTAGAGAACTGAGAATAAAGAATTGATAGGTAAAATTCCAGAGATGCATTATCTGGAGAGTTTTGTGTAGTAATCCCCAATACAACACCAAAAACCTTTATGATATCTAAGACAATCGTTCTCGTCTTGAACTTGTCATAAAGTTCTTTACTGATTTTCTATTTAACGACATTTATGACATCAGAAGTTGATCCAGAGAAATGAAACCCATAGCGCTCTCTCAAAAGAGATGCAAACAGGAAGAACAAGGAAAAAGAAGCGAATGGATTGAATAAAGGGTTTAGTTCATAACTCTTAGCATAGAAACAATACAATCATTCAGTCCGGTTCAGGAAAACGGGTAGAAGAGAAATCGCACAGAAAAATTGACTAAGAATTAACTAATGTTACACATTACCTCGCATGGACAGAGGAATAAGAACATTCGAAGCGAATGGATTGAATAAACTGTTTATTTCTTAAGTCCTCTCATAAAAGCAAAACAATAATTTTCACTGTTTCAGGGAAACGATTAGAATCAACACCGCATGCTAATATAAACTAAGAATTGACTAATGTGAGACAGAGAAAGGTGAACATGGACAGAGGAAGAAGAACATGGGCAGAGGAAGAAGAACATGGACAGAGGAAGGAGAACATGGACAAGCGAATGGGTTGAATCATTTCCATATACGACTGACAACTGAAATAATCTGGAGAATACAAACGCCAGAAAGTTGTCACTAAAATACGAAGATAAAGAAAGTAGTTCGAACAGAGTTTATTTTACAAATTTGGGTATTTTTTTTTCGTTTGTGCCAATAAAAATACAGTGTAATCCTGATATAAGAGAGTTGTCGGGACCGGAGAAGAAGTCTCTTATATCCGGGTTTCTCTTATACCCGGGTTTCTCTTATATTCGGGTTTGGTCTATTTTATATACATTAACACAGGCTCTATTTGGGACCAGAGAAAATCTCTCTTATATCCGGGTTACACTGTAAAAGATGAAAATTAGTATTTTTAAATAGCACCAGAATAATATTGTTTACTTTGGCCAAACAACATTTCTTTTGTAGCATATTATTTTACTGGAACATGTTCATTCCTTCCAAATCACGTCACATCCGGTAATATTTAAGTTTTCATATTTTTTGATTGCGCTCTGAACTGAGTAATTTCGGTGTTGCGTGTGTGCAGATAAACTCGACAGTTTTATTCTCTTTTGTTAATTACCATCATAACGATTCGTGTAGACATTATTCACGAAAAGAATGAGAAGCTTGAAGCTCCAGAACAGCGGACACACTGGATGTGACACTTTTACCAAAGAACACGCATGCTCAAATCAAACAAGTTGTAGCTTTTAAAAATAAAAGAGACAACCAAAGAACTAATGATTAGCCGGAACCTAGAAAGAAACTATTGATAAAATAGTTTTCGACAAAAACAATAAAAAGAAGGGAACGTCTTTTTCAAACAAATATAATGAAGTCGATAGCTTTGCATCGAAATACTCACCAAAGCAAATGGTGAAAAGAGATGAGTACAAGACAAACAATGAAAAGGGGTGGCAGAATGTAAAGGTTAAAGGTAATGGCCGACATGCCAATCAATAAAGGCATCAGAAGGGGAACTTACAGGGATGTGAAAATGGTCACCAAATATTCCGACAAGAATTTGGCTAGGTCCAACAATTGCCTTAGGTCCAACAATTATCACGGCTCCTTGTTCGCTGGTGAGTCCAATATTGACAACTTTTGCCGGAAGACAGATCAAAACAAATTAAAAGTAATAGAAAATTTATGTATCTTCGAAAGGTATCTTAAATTTTCGGACATTTTAAAGGGCATATTATTTTACATTTTTTTCAAGGGGACAATCATATATATATCAGAAAAATAAACTTATCTTTCAGGATTTTCTTTCGATTTCTTGGTTTTATCACTGAGCATGGGAAGACAGATTATGCTATCAAGAAGATGATTTTGGATCGACTGGAGAAAGAGAAACTTGATTTCAAAAAATTTAGAGTGATAGGATTTGACAATGCGGCTAGTATAGCTGGGGTTCATGGTGGTGTTCAACGTCTTCTACGAAACATAAATGGGGAAAGCTAAATTTCTGCCATGTTCTAATCGTAGTCTGAATTTTTGTGGTGTTCATGTATCAGTTGTTAATGCAAGTGCCATTACATTTTTCGGAGTGTCTGAAAGACTCTACACATTTTTCTCCTCTCCCAATCACCGGTGAGAAGTTTTATCGTCGTATGTGAAGGTCAGAATGAAGCGTTTGGCAACCATCCATTGAAGTGCACGTTACGAAGCTATTCGGTCAGTGAAAACCGAATTTCAAAAAGTGATTCAGGCAATCGATTCATTAACCTCAGCTTCAAAAAATCTTCAAATCATTTTGCTTTTAATTGAAAACTTCTCCTTAATGTCACATTTATTTTACTGAGAAGAAATTATGGGACAAATAAATCTCATTCAAAAGAAACTTCAAGAAACTGGTATTGGTTTCGATACGTGTGTAACCCACATGGATGCGACCAAAATTTTTTTACCTAAACGGGTCTGTTGTCTGAATTGATTAATGAACGTAAAATAAAATGCGAGGGAATGGAAATTCCATTTGAAAAGTAGATTAGAAGAAAGAGAAAGCTAGCTAGGTGGGGGAGGAAGATGATGTATGTCAAGCACTTGTGCATGAAGTAAAGGGAAATCTTTACGAATGTCATGATCGACTTGTAAATGAGCTGGAAGCACTATTTAACTTCCATGTCTCATCCACAAACAGTCTTCGCTGGATTGTCATCGCAAGCAACCCTGGAAGATACTGCAGGCGAGTTGGAGCGAAGATTTAAAATCATGGCTAGCGAATACGGTGCTGACTTAGACGTATCTATGCTGTCTTTGGAAGTTCTCCGACTTCGGGATTTTTTAGCGGCAGCTTTCAAAGTGGAACGTGACACGACCATGATGACCAAATCATCAGCTATCGAATGGCTGAGATTGCAAGTTCAAGAAACTGTGCCAAATATTGTGACTACTCTACTCACAGTTTCTGTTGCTACTGTAGAGAGAAGATTCTCAAAACTTATTCTCATTAAAAGTCACTTGAGATCGAGTATGTCGCAAGATCACTTATTCAATTTGTCACTGATTTCCTTTGAACATGAAAGTGCAGAGAAAATAGTCTTTGACAAAATTATTAGTAACCTTGCTTCTGCAAAAGCCTGAAAGGTTTAAAATATGATAACGTTTGTTCAGCTAATTTTTGAATTTGTTGTTTTTCAAGTACTAATCAACGCCATTAAGGGTATTTCATTTAAATTTTTCCTCTAAAAAAAGGTGGTGGGCAATATGAATAGGGGCCTCGGGCGGAACTTTGCCTCGGTACATCTCTGGTTACTTAGGAGCCATCTTCGTTTTGCCATTTACTTATTTTCATGATAAAAAACACAAGATCATTAACATTTAATAGGTTAAGGAAGCATATATATTTCTTCCCATTTAGCCATCATCATTTCATTATTAATGAGATAAACACACCCAAGAGAATAAAACTGTGCACCACAGAAATACTCACCAATCTAAAAGATAAATCTAATGGCCACCAGTCAAATGCATGACGTAAGAATGTGTAGAGACGTTTTTGGACAATTCCAAGTACTGTGGTTCTGTGAAGACATAAATTTATTTCGGTAACTTCTAAATAATAATAATAATAATAATAATAATAATAAGCACAATAAACCGGCTGAAACTGCAAAATATTTAAAAAAGGATAGCAAAGACGAATGCAACCGACCAGATACAGAAGCGATGGTAAGATAAACCGCTTCATGGCCAATACTCTGCCCGTACCAAACAAGCTGACGTAGACAGAACCCGTACCCATTAGTGGCTACGTAGTGCAGGGTTGAAAGCTGAAACTGAAGGTTTTATCCTTGCTGCACAGGACCAATGCTTGCTAACTAGGAATTATCAAGCACATATACTAAAATATTGTGTCATCCCAAAATGCAGATTCTGTGATAAATATCCAGAAACGATTGATCATCTTGTATCAGGTTGTACGGTGTTGGCACCCATTGAATATAAAACCCGGCATGAAAGAGTGGGCCAATATCTGCACTGAAAAATCTGCAACATCTATGGGATGGAAACTGAAAGAAACTGGTAAGAACACCACCCAGACCCGGTTACGGAGATAGGACCTGTTACAATTCTATGTGACTACACAATACACACTGACAGAACAATCAAAGCCAACCGCCCAGATATTGTTATTAAAGACCACAAACAAAAACAGTGCCTCCTTATTGACATGGCAGTCCCTGCTGACTGCAATGTATCTTTGAAGATATTCAAAAAGTTGTCAAAATACAAGGACCTTGAAATAGAAATCTCGAAAATGTGGCATATGGGAACATCAACAATCCCTGTTGTAGCTGGAGTCCTAGAACTGGTTGGAAAAGATTGCAGTCGACTAATTGAAGGGATTCCTGGAAGTCCATGCCTCAAGGAGATACAAAAAATTGTTCTGACAAATACAGCCCACACTTTACGAAGGGCTTTATCTATGTAATATCTTTTATTTTTTTGTCAGTGGAAAGTGTCATGATGCCATTTCTAACCTTAGGTCCCTGGGCGGGACCCGGAAAGAAATGAGTAAACGGCAGAAATCAAATCAATTAATAATAATAATAATAATAATAATAATAATAATAATAATAAATGTTGACAACATCTACAGTGAAATAATCCGACAGACATTTTTTTGTAAATAAGACTGAGAATTATTTGACTCATTTGAATTATTTTAATTATTTGAATTATTTGAGAATTATTAGTTCCCTCTCTCAATTTTTGTAGTTGCAAGTTGCTCTGTAGATAATAGTTAAATCCTACTGAAACTAACTGTTCCTGTTCAACCATAGTAGTTAAGCAGTGTCAAATCGGTACTGTGAGCAACCTCCTGCAATCTTAAATATCTTTTGGTTTTAAATAACCCACAAAGGGTTGATAAGACATAAGAAATCATATTCTGTAGAAAAATATGAAACAGGAAAAGTTTATGTCAATACTTTTAACTAGATTTATGAACGTCAACAATTCATCATTTATTTAAAATAATTCAAATACTGATATGAAGATAGGCAGTCTAATGAGGAAATATAACCTTACATTGCAAAAAACAGAAAAGATCAGCTGTTAAGAAGGTTTTCAGGCAAATTTGCAAATGAAAAATTTATAAAAAATAAACCAGTTTTTAATTTCCTAAAATAAAATTATTCAAAATATTAAAGTTATCAATTTTTGTTCCATACTTGGAAGATGAAATGGTACTTACTTCTTAAACTGGTCAAGAGGTGTCAATGTTTGTTGGTAATAAGGTGAGGTAAGTATTGGTACTGATGCACTATTCACAAAATAATGTAAATGTTTGACAAGTGAGCAAATTATTCGGATGTGATTGATGGTGGGAACATAGATCTCCTGTAAGAAGAAACGAAACAAATTAACGAATCAATTATGCAGAGAAAACAGAAACATATATATATATATATAAAAAAAAACAAACAAAAAACACAGACCAAAGTTTTACAAAGAAAAAATACATTCATTTGCATTGACCTGCTGCTCTCAGACTAAAAAAAAAGTCTCTCTTGATAAAATTTGGTCTCTTGACTAGAGAAAAAATATGACAGAAGCAAAGAAAGATAACTTGAATTTAAGAATACTACCATAAAATTTGAAATTAATGAGCATTTCCCACCGATTTTTTTGTAATATATCAAACTTCTTAAAAATCAAAGAATAAAAAGGAATAAGTTTTTGAAGGGAGATAACTCGGAAAGATTGAACAATAATTATTCCCCTTTAAGAATTTATATTTGGCTTAAACGATTATGGCTATGAATTTCAACGCCTGACACATCTCCGGACAACAGAAATCGGAGCGAAGCGGCTATGTTCACTGTAAAACCAGCAAGAATAAGTGGAACAGTTTTTTCTACATGATAATATCACTGGTGAATGTTAGAAATATTTATCTTTTTTCTCAAGTTCAAACCTCATGAGAAAGGGTAGCTAGGATTCATACAATCTCTTTCTTAAATATAATTCGTCATTACACAATTAGATTTTTGTTACTTCCTCCTACTAAGTTTTGATTTCCTGTAACCATTAAAATATCTGCTTTCCAATCTTTGACACTGAAAATAAACATTACTAACAAGAGTTGCTTGTGAGAACTCCTTTTTGAAATGTCTCTTATTAAAGTTCACAGTATATACTGGGCAACTTACCTCACTATTCTGAACAATGCCAGGAGATTGGCATTCTGCAGATTGCCAAAAGTCAGAAAAGATCTTGAAATAAAAAAACAAAACAATAGATAAAAGCATTTCTTAATGAAAACATTCATAAATTTGGTTGACATTGTATCAAAATGATAACCCACCCTTTCACAGTTATTCTTAAACAACAGAATAAGATGATCAACTCTTAATGATAATCATCAAAACAGAAGATATTTATCAATCTCATTGAGTAATAAATCTTTTAACTGACTTTGAAATAAGACATTAGAACAATACATTCCACTTCCACTCAGTCTAAACAACATGTGCTAAGCAATAAAACCATACTATAGAATTTATTTTAAGGACCAAACTTTTGTAATAAACGTAATTATTAAAGCCTGAATAATGTCCCATTTGATTGAAAATGTAACTAATTTTCAAATTGAACAACACCATGAGAATATCTGTCAGAATGACAAACCTTATCAAGTCAAGCATAAAAATAAATTACTCGTGTGATACTATTTATTAAGATATTTAATATATATAGAGAAGATTTAACATACAATTATCAGGTTATCTATGAGAATCAAGAATTTAATTTTCATTTAAATGTGTATTGAACCAGCCAACATAAATGAGCAACTCACAAAGAAATTAATATAATCAGATTGATCTTGCAATAATAAAACTAAAGCAACTCAAAAGTTAGTCTATCAAGACGAAGTTATACCACGAAGTTACAACTGATCAAAGTAACTAAGAAAGTCAATGCAGACTACTACAAAAGCTATGAATTTGTTAATTTTAACAGGTTATACTAAGAGACCACCGTATCAATACCAAAGTGGGGTTTCTCAACTACTTTTGACTTGTGTTTTAATTATTTGAATTATTTATAAACTGAGAAAATATTTCAATAGTTGTTGTTTCACTGGCAGCAAAATGACCAAATTTCAAATGTAAATTGTTGGTCCGTTCAAATAACTACATTTAGTAGAAAATATATCCATCTTAAACACAGGAGGAGTCATAAAAATAAATTCAAAAAGCTGGCTTATAATCTTTACCTGTTTACAAAAATGGATGTTGCCAAACAGAAAGAGAAATTAGCCCTGGTGACGCAGATGTCCATGTCTATTTCTAGATAAGTTTACATGTACATGTATATTTTAATTCAGTGTCACACCTAAAATTATTTCTACAATTTTTAAAAAAAAGCTTTAAAAAATAAATCTTTTTACTAAGAAATAATTTCCACAAAGTGCAATAGAATCTGATAATTATCTAATTTTTAGGGTTTAAAAAAGTTAATGTTTTTTTTCCTTGTATCCAAATTTATGATTTTATTGCTCATCTCAGATGGTTCAAACAGAGTGGAAAAGAAAAGTATTATTTCAAATTCTGTCAAATCAGTATGTGTTTGTGTGCACATGTGTATATTTGTACCTTAAATCGCAAAAGTATATATAAGTCACTCAGACACAACACAGATATATACATTACATATGTGCCTTTAAACTTTAAAACGGCTAATTTTTAATCTTTCAGAAAAGTATATTATTTTTTAAAGACTTTTTTTTAATAAAGAGGATTATTTTGCATTGACAATTTTGTCATGTTATTTATTGGTAAAAGTGCTTAATACCATGGATCAAGCATGTGTCACTTTCTTTACAAAATTGCTTTGTTTATGTTAAGATACAAAACTGAGCATATATGTCTATTTCAAGAGTCAGAGAAAAATCTGTGTTTAAAGGCACTATTTAACTTTGCTTGGTTATCGATGCATGCTGTAGCCGAGAGGTCAAAGCATGTCAGGCCTAATCATGGTTTTCCCTTGGGGAACACAGGTACAAATCCTGCCAGAATATGCATATTTTTCTCTGATAAGTTTTCTTGAATATTTAAGTCGGTAAAAAACAAAAAAAAAAAAGTTTAACAATATGATTTCTCACACATCTTTAGAATATAATTAGATAAATTTCTTTTCTTTTAAGCTCACTTAATCATTTGAGTTTTTTAGTAATTTTGTCTTCAGTTTATCTTTGAGTAAACTTAAGCGTCAATGTTTTCAGGATTCATGTCTCCACTTTGCCTTTGAATAGGGAAAAAAAATCTTTTTAATGATTTTAGATTGTCATAAAAGCAGTCCTTTAAAGATTTGAGCATCTATGTTGTTTTAGGGTGGTCGCAAACATTTTGGAACACAAGTGGATGGAGGGGGTATTACCCCAGGGTTATCCATATAAGCAGAGAGTGGGAGGTAGGTGAGAGAAAGTGGGGTCCAACCATGAGAGAAGTAGATAGGTGACTAAAGGAGTTAGAGCTACCCAGAGGTCAGTGACAGAAGAGCAGATAGCGAGGGAGGGGCCTGCTGAAGTCAGGGAGATAGCAGTTCAGCTGAAGGAAAATGTAGCCGGTTAAGTGAGAAATCATAATGTTGTGAACTCCCAACCAGTGTCTTTAAAAACATTTGTTGTCACTATTATTATTTGTTGAAAGTGATCACGGCCAACAGCACAAACCTGTGCACATAGCAAGTTTGGTGTATATGCAAATAGAGTCAACCTTGGATGGAAGAATGTTGTCACAAAAATTGTCACAATTATGCCACAAATAGCGTCAAAAGTATTCACTAAAAATAATGTTCAAGTAAAAAAATTTGTTGGATTAAATAATTTTACAAACTATGGTGGCAGCTTCTTCACACCAAAACAAGGACAAAAGTCCATATAAACATATGTTCACAAATCCTTCGTCTTTTGAGCTATTAAGTTTAAAGAAAGTTTATAGTAGATGGTGCTGTGTTGCCATGTAGACAAGGTTAGCTTTGTCATTCGTTTATATTTGTGGCTAATTTGTCTTCAATGTTTAATGTCCATAGTACTGAGTTAAAAGAGAAGTGTTTAACAATAGCTGGATATTCATAACATGAGCAGGCAGATATGATTTTTACATATGGCTACATGAGAGGTAATGGATGCAAGGCTGCACTGCTGAATCAGATTGTGTTTCCAGACTGAAGGCAGGTGCGTCATCCAACCTTTCTGTTTTTTATTATTGCATTGCTGAGTCAGGATCCATGGCACTGCAATCTATGGATTGAGGAAGAACAAGATCTGCATGTGCACCTGACCATGAAAATATTATGCATGATATCAGAGTATCAGCACACATCAAGTAGTCCTATCATGTTGTACATTTTGTTGTACCTCATGGAGGCTACTTCAAGTGCAACTTCTCTTTCCATATCATTTGAAACATGTGCATGGTCTTTTGCTCTCTCACCTCAGGAGAACTTTTGCCAATGGTTTATTGCACAAACTTGCTGGTCTATTGTTTGTCTCTTCAGTCTTGTTTATGGATGAAGCAACATTTGGAAGAGATGGAATAATAAATTTACACAACCAACATTTGTGGGCAGACTGGAATCCCCATGGTACAATACAGACTAGACAGCAGCATCAGTTCACAATTAATGTGTAGGCTGAAATTGCAGGTGATTGTCTGATCCAGATGTTCTCCTAGCATGTCTTATAGGTGCAGTCTACAGGGACTTTATTTCCAACACACTTCCAGACCTGCTAGAGGATGTAGCCCTGCTAATACAAAGATGCATATGGTTCATGTATGATGGGACTCCAGCACATTTTAGTCACATTGTTCACAATTCACTGGCTGACATCTACCATGAAAAATGGGATGGTTCCATAGCCCACACGTTCTCCCAACCTCAATGCTTTGGATTTTTATCTGTAGGGCCAACTAAAAGAATTAGTCGATGCAATAGATATTAATAATGCAGAGACCCTCCATTAATGTGTCATGTGGGCTGTGAAACCATTTAATACAATGTAGGAATATTTGAAAGAGTCCACCAATCAATAATCCGACAGGAACATCTGTTTGTAAAAGTTGTAGCCTCTGTTTTTCTGTTATTGAATTCCTCCTTGGATTTTGAAGATAAACTCTCAAAACCATATATATTCTGAATCTACATTACCCAGAGGAATTGGAGAAGTATATTTCATTTTGATCAATGGGTTCCCTGGTGGGCACAAACCTCACACTGAATTTTTTTCCCTTTGATATAAATCAAATTTAAATTTGAACAAGGAAATTACTCCTAGCATATTTGGATAAGTATATTTCATTTTGATTCAAGGGGATGGGACGTATCCCCCACATCTGAAAATTGTTTCCCTTTGATTTAGATTAAATTTAGATTTGAACAAAGGATTGACTCCTATCGAAATATAGAATGAGAAAGCCAGAAGACGGAGGTCACATCGGCAAGATCATTGAGTAATATTTAAATGCATCATTTTGATCCTCAAATTATAACATTGATTTCAAATCAATCATCATTTTCTTACAAAAAAATGTGTGATGTGCAGGTAATTCGGCTAGTACATAATATAATGTTAAATGAGTAAAAAACAGAATGACAAACATAGTCACTGAAAAACTGTTGTTAATTCTCAGTTAAATAATAGACAGTGAATTCATTCTGTTTAGAGAGAGTCTAAAAAAACGTTAGACATATAAGCATGTAGGTAAGAAGAAACATACACCTTAAATAAAAAGGTAAGTAAAATTTAATGTAATGATCGTTATTAGAATTCTGCTAACAAAATATTAATTCACCTGAATGAGAGTTTCTGAGCGCCAGGTTTCTGTCCCAGATTGGTCGAGCACAGATGGTGACTAGAAGTGCTGTTTTTGGGCCATTATTACACTTGGCTTGAGAAGATGTAATCCACTGGAAACATATTTAGGCATACCAGGACTGCCACTGGATTGTGGAATGGATCTGAAACAAAAAAGTCAAGAGCTATGTTACTCCACACAATTACAAAGGTGGGATGCTAGACATTGTTGGGTATATATTTGTCACCATTATGTTGTGGGAATCAACACTTTGGATTGTAAATATTTATCAGGCTCCTGGAACATTTATCTGGCAAGCAATATTGGTGGACTCAATGTTAGTCAAGGCAAAAATGAGTCACACCAACAATAAATATAAAGAAACAACAATGCATGTATTAACAAAAGAAATTAGAGGTGTAAACAATTGTAACGGAAGGGAAAAAAAATATTAAAACAAGTTATAAGAAGAATGTGCTTGTTTGTATGTGTGTGTGTGTATGTGTGTGTGTGTGTGTGTGTGTGTGTGTGTGTGTGTGTGTGTGCGTGTGTAAAAAACGTGTATGATAGAGACATGTGTATATGCTGGTGTTAGAAAATAGTCTAAGTAATCCTCAACTAGGGTCGGATAGAGGTAAGCAGCAAAATGGCCCCAAACTGGAGTATTCTGTCTGGATTTGCGACTGACCAGCATATATGAGAAATGAAACAAGTACAGTTCAAAAGGATCTAAGAATGCAGTTAAGGTAAAAAAGGGACAAATGAAAGAAGCATCACAAAAAAACATCAAACTTAATTCATTTCATTTCAATACCTCACAGATAAACTGTTTCTCTAACTTATAAAAAGTCAATACTATTTCAACAAATTCTGCCTATTTTTCTCCTTTAAAGTTGAACTAAGGTCCTCACTTTTGTGATTATGACAACCTTTTGACCAATACACTTTCTGGTCATCATCAGGTCTCTGTTGATTTGGGTAAATAACACTACTTTTTACCATCATCCCAGAATTGTCTCAAAATTGAATGGTTTTTCTCACCTTCTTAAAAAACTGAATTGTTGTTTTTCTCACTTTCTTAAGAAATCAAACTGTTTTTTTTCTCACTCTTTTTGATTTTGGTACAATTCTGGAAAGAGAGTAAAAAATGTTAGCTAGTGTTTTTATTATGCTAACTATGATAAAAACACTGTTAAAATATTTCGAAATAAAAAAAAAATTACAGTAAAATTTAACTAACCAGTTCTTGTATTATTCATTTTTAAAACTTTAATAATTGTAAAAATGAAAATATACAAAACAAATTCAATTAGAAATCAAAACTTATCCACACTTTCGCCATAAGATATCTGTATCCAAGAATGCAGATAATTTTTGATTTTCCCTCAATAGTTAAATTTCACTGTAAATTTTATTAAAAAAAACCGCGATTTTTTTTATTTAAACATTTCTGAGAAATCACCTAAAGAATTTTTTGTATTAATTAATTTCATTACTCAGAGTAACTTTATTGTACTTTAACTTAAGAATTGTTCTATATAAAGAATATTAGTGTAAAAACTGTTCACCATGAAAACCGTTTTTGAAGTCTTTATAAAAACAAAAGCTTGTCTAATGTCCTGTCTATTCATGTTTTAATAAAAAAATAGAAAAAAAAGAATTTTTTTGCTTTATTTATTAAAACAAAATTAATCCTTACAATTGTTACCAAATTGCTTTTCACATTTCAACAGCATTAATAATACAAATATATAAATTTAAGCCAATAATTATAATTTTTTTTTTTGGCTTTTTCATTCACTAGTTAAGAAAAAATAAAAATGTTTTGTGTATGTGTTGATACATTAAAAATTATTTAACATTTTCACAGTAGAGTTAATAATCTGTTTAAAATTTAGTTTACCACATATCCTAAACATAGAAGATGTAAAAAATCTACAAAATAAGCATTAATCTACTCAAATAAGATTATCTAAAAGAAATAATTAAAAAAATCTTACAAAGAAGAAATAATTAGGTTTTAGTTGACATCATCAACTTAATCAATTGTAATTAATCCAAATAATATATAGATATTATATTATATATATATATACATATATATATATATACATATATATATATATATATATATATATATACATAACATTTTAATGTCTACCATACTATTTTGGTGTGTGATAGGTACTGGTTATAGATGGAAATCTATTATGGATAGCAACAATTTTTTCTTTTCTTTTTTTATGCAGACCTATAATCAATACCAGATTTTTATTTATTTATTTATTGTTTTAATTATTACATACCAAGCAAGGTAATAAAGCCACTAAGAAGCAAGTGGTTACTGAGTGTTAGAACATATGAGAAAAATATAATATTAAGGGGAGAGGACAATAAAAGAATAAAAATTAAGAAGTCAAATGATTTTGATGGACATTGCATTTAAATTTTTGAAGATCAAAACTGGAAAAGAGTTCCACAAATGAGAAGTGCAATAGAAGAAACTGATAGCATAGAACTTACAGCTATATTGATCCATTTCTATTGTATAATGTTGCCAATCTAGTACTATGCTTAAATTTCTAAAGTCTAGGTACCATAGAGGCAAATTCATCAGAACAATTAGCTTGAAAGTATTTATAGAAAAGGCACAGGAAAGCTACGTTACGGCGCTGGGAAAATGACTAAAACCAAGTTCCGGACCAATAAACATTGCAGATTCTTTGGAATTTATCAAAAATCTCTAAATATATAACAGGAACAACAGACAAGATGTGGCAGCAATATTCAAAGTAAGGAAAAATGGTAGATTTATAAATATGCAAGATAGATTCTGGTGTCATAACTTTTATAATTAATGGTAGATGTTTGGTTCACATTAATGGTAAATAAAAATTGATCAGAAATTGTCGATAACATCCTTCGATTTGACGCTCACAATTACATGAAAAGGTACATAACTCTCATTTTCATATGAAGAGTTGTCTCCCTTGTAAACACATTGCTTAGTGCTACATGAAAAATCATTTTTTAAAAGGATATTAAGCGAGAGATAGAGATGACCAAATGCCTGAAGCTGTAATTTGTTGGCATAAAACCCAGGAATAACCCCTTCCTCAATTAAAAGCTGTGTTGGTACCTAAAATATAGAAATAATCAAGACTAAAGAATTTGGAGCAATGTAGAAAATATAAAAAAAAACATTATTTTGCATTATCAATTGCATTATCCATCAAGAGGGACTTACTTTTGAGGCTAGATATTGAAAATGACTGCAGCCAACTAGATGTAATTTTCGAAAAGTATAGGCAATAGAAAAAAAATTCCATTAATATTTTTGTTGTACAAAAGGTAAAAACTATTAATAAAAACTTAATCATTTATTTTCAAATTGAGCTTTTGTCAGAATTTCTGGATTAGGAATTATCATTATTTAGATGTCGAATATTGTCCTCATTTTTGTTATCGCAACATTTTGGCCGTTGTACACTCTAGCCTTCATCAATATACACCTGATGGAGGCCAGAAGATAAAACTACCAAAACCATATAATAACAACAAAGATGGAGACAATACTTTACATGTAAATAATGCGAACAAAAGAAAATTGCAATAATGCATGCGATATTTTTCTTGAAAAAAGGAGAATAGACTAAACATTTCCCTAATGGATTTGCTATGGCACAGAGTAAATGTTGTCAAGAGCATAGAATCTGGCAATTTTATCCTTTATGTATTGATTTGTTTTCTACGGCTTTGCAGGTTATTTAAAGCCAGAAAATATTTCTAGATTGTAAGAATTGTAGAAATTTTGTGCACTTGCCGTAGCGAAACTCAGTGGAAGGGGAAAAAAAATGAGGGAATTCAACTGTAATCTTGTGACAAAAATACAATGAAAGATATTTCTTCTTCACAGAAAATTTATTGAAATGAGTTCCAGTTGACGCCACATTGGATTGAAGGGGAGTCAAAATTTGCATATATGTTTTAGGAGAGATATAAAATGCAAAAATAGATACCCAAAGGCAGTTACTGTATTTTTTTCTTCCTTTGTTACGACCATGCTTCCGCTTTCAAAGCTGACTGGGCATGTTACAGAAACTGTTAATAAGAGTGTTAACTTTTTATTTTTTTATCGTTACTTCTACAAGGAGAATTACTTGTAGGGGAACATATAGTGTTTTTTTTTTTTGTTGCAACGATTGCCACCATGAGATTACGCCAGTAACTAGTAAGAATTCGTTATCATTTTTCTTCGCTGAGTTTCACTTTAAATGCTAATAGTTGCCATTATAGTTTTCTACGTTCCCTTTCCCCAGTCGGACTTGAAATCCCGACAGAATTTTGTTTTTGAGATAATAACAGTTTAGTGAAACAAGTGTTACTAATTAACTCATAGCTGGAGGAGAAGAGGAGGGTTCATACATTTCTCAAGAATATTTGTGTCTAAGTGAATATAAGGAACCTAACAAGACTTGGAACTCGGCTCTACAATTAACAATTCTGAGTCATTATCCATTATACCACAACAAACTTACAGCACCTGGTATTACCACAGACAAGTTGTAATGCAAGTTAAATATCTGAAAACAAAGACTGCCATTGTCATTACAGCAAAAGCATGTACAACATGGATAAGAAATAAGTGTATGGATACATGATCTTTCTAGGCATTGGTGAAAGGGAAAAATAAAAAAAACAAAAGCATTTAATTATTTACTTACAGGAAGACATCGCAATGGAAATTCATATGTGAGATAAGGTCAGCCTGTAACCTGTAAACAAGCTTAAGCAAAAGGTCCCCTTGGAGAGAAAAATGCTTGGCCATATTCGTATTCGTCTGGTGTGGTTGTTTTGTTTATATACTCCAAATCCCAGCCTGGTTCATTCCCAAACCCAAACATACTTTCCAAGAGTGTTGGAAATATATGTTGAGCTTCCTGAAAATATGAGAAAAAAAAAAAAAAGATTTCAGAAAGGAGTCTGAAAAATAAAAATGTGTCAATATTTGAATCATCAACTAATGAACATTAAATACCACTAGCAGCATGGCCCGGCGTTGACCGTGCTTTATTAAAAAATCGTACGACATACAGCAATCGCTATCACTTGAGTTAAAATATTTTTGCCCTTCCTTGCCTTTAAAGGAGTGCCCTTTGCCGTGCTGATGTTGCTACATGCCTTACTTCTTGCCTATCTCACACTGCGAATTTTTTCTAAGCTCTATACTAAACATTAAATCTGTTACGAAAAAAGAACTAAACAAAATGAACACAAAACGATCAGCTTTAAAAAAAGGACTCGTAACTGGAAAAACCGAATGAAAAAAAATGTTAACAACAAATACTTTTTCACACCCAAACCCAGTTCTTCAATGTTTTTTTTTGAAATGGCTTATAGGTATTGTTCTAGAGGTTGAAGGTGAATCTAATACAATGACTATGTTGAGGTTAAATAAGATTTCAATTTTACAACCTAAAAACTCTTTCTCTTTTGTATTCTAGAAGATAAGTGGCCGTTACTATTTGGGCGGTAGATAAGTCCGTCATCTCTGTAAAGGCCCGCTTGTTTAGGGTCAATTATATGCTAATAAAGAGAAAGAACAAATGGAGTTAGAATGCACAGTTCTTAGCATTTACTTGTTAAAAATTGCTCAATACCAACGGAGAGCAAAATATAATATTATTAGAATATTTTTGATTATAATAGATTATAAATCCTTTCAAATTTCCCAAATAAATCATTTGTATTTTATATAATCTACCATCGCGGATGAGGAACGATTAACGTTCCGAAACATGAAAGTTTATGTGTAGCGATGTAAAATGTTTTTATTGTAATCTATTTTAATAAAAATATTTTAGTAATATTATCTATCTATCTATCTATCTATCTATCTATCTATCTATCTATCTATCTATACGCGCGCGCACACACACAAACGCACACAGAGGGGGCGATGGATAAATTGTCGTTTAAATTACGCAAAAATGAAAATAACAATG